GGTAGGCGATGCGTCTGCATTCCGTGTCTGGGGATCTCGGGCGTTTGTCCGCGACTTGTCTGCGGACAAGCTGTCCCCTCGTGCTGCTCCTTGTGTCTTCCTTGGCTTCCCCCCTGACGCACCAGGGTGGCAGTTCTACCACCCCTCCTCTCGTCGTGTTCTGTCCTCCCAGGACGTCACCTTTGACGAGTCGGTCCCCTACTACCGTCTCTTCCCCTACCGCACTCCTTCCCTCCCCCCGCCGTCGCACTTCCCTTTGCCAGGTCCCCCCCAGGTAGACCCCCTCCCCCCTCAGGGTCTTGCCCCTTCAGGTGTGTCCCAGGTAGACGCAGTCGAGCCGGTCGAGGTTGCTAGTGACTCTGGTACTGCTGCGGGTGCTGAGCCTGGGGGTGCTGACTCTGGGGGTGCTGCGCGAGAGGGTGCTGAGCCTGGGGGTACTGAGCCTGGGGGTGCTACGACTGAGGGTGCTGAGCCTGGGGGTCCTTCGCCTGGGGGTGCTGCGTCTGGAGCTGCTGAGCCTGGGGGTGCTGCGTCTGGAGCTGCTGAGCCTGGGGGTACTGAGTCTGGAGCTGCTGAGCCTGGGGGTGCGGAGCCCGCGGCCGTTGGACCTGCTCGTGTGGCGTCTGGCGGTGCTGGGCCTGGTGGTTCTCCGGGTGCTTCGTCTCGGCGGGAGCCACTCTCTCCACAGGAGCTGCGCGAGTGGTTTGCCCGTCGCTGGAGGCGTTCTGCTGGAGCTGGTGCTTCTTCGGCTGTTGAGGGTGCTGGTGCCGCCGGTCTCGGAGGTGCTAGCCCTGGGAGTGCAGGAGCTGCTGGGCCTGCGAGTGCGAGTGGAGTCGGAGCTGCTGACGATGTTGGCGCTGGGACTACTGCTGTCAGTCCTAGCGGCGGTCTAGCTGCGGGTGCTGCTGGTGCTGTTGGAGGTACTAGAGCTGGAGGTGCTGTTGGCGCTGGTGCTTCCACTGGGGGTGCTGGTGCTATCCCTGCTGTGTCTGGAGTCGCCGCGCGGCCTCGGCCGTACTTTGTTCCGCTCCTTCAGCAGATTCTTGGTCTTCCTCCTCCCTTAGAGTGTCCACCGCCTGTCCAGTCACAGTCACAGTTACCGCCGGCCTCCCCACTGCCTGCTCCTTCTCCCTACACTAGTCCTACTGGAGGTCTTGCTGAGCGTCGTGAGCCTGCGTCTCATTCTGCGTCGCCGGTACGTGCTGCTCGCGCTAGTGGTCGCGATTCGCGTCAGCGTCCTCCTCCTGTCCCTGGCACGCACCGGATGTCTCTGTGTCCGTCCACTGCTCCTCTGCGTGCCCCTTTGCCTTCTCCTCCTGAGTCCTCTCTTCCTGCCCTTGCCGACCCGGAGTCGGACTCTCTTCGTGCTGCCAGTCCTACTGTCACGCGTCTCCTTGCTACTGTCAACACTGACCCCTCTTTTGAGTCCACTGCTGCGTCTGCTCTTGTTGCTGAGCTCGTCGACTTTGCTGCTCGCTGTCGTCTAGACTACGTTGCTAGTCTCGTTGCTGAGTCTGCGTCTGTCTGTCCTCCGTCCGTCGGGGGTGAGTGTGCTCTTGGCACGGACGTCCTTGAGGACAGGCAGGAGGAGTTCCAGTGTCTGGCCTTGCTTAACCTCATCTCGTGTCCGTACTGCTTACCCCTGAGGGAGACCCGGATGCACTAGACATCCCGACTCCGCGCTCTTACGCAGAGGCCTTAGAGGGTCCCTACTCCTCTCAGTGGCTGGCAGCTATGGATGCAGAGATGGCTTCCTGGAAGTCCACAGGCACCTACGTTGACGCGGTTCCCCCACCTGGGGCGAACATCGTCAGTGGCATGTGGATCTTCAGGGTGAAGCGGCCGCCGGGCTCTCCGCCTGTCTTCAAGGCGCGGTACGTGGCTCGTGGCTTCAGTCAGCGGCAGGGAGTCGACTACTTTCATACCTTCTCTCCCACCCCGAAGATGACCACTCTTCGGGTGCTGCTACACATAGCCGCTCAGCGTGACTACGAGCTTTACTCCCTTGACTTCAGCACTGCTTTCCTGCAAGGTAGCCTGCACGAGGAGATGTGGCTGCGCCGTCCACCTGGCTTCACAAGGACTTTCCCACCTGGCACCCAGTGGAGCCTCCGACGGCCAGTCTACGGTCTCCGCCAGGCACCGCGCGAGTGGCACGACACACTGAGGACTACGCTTGCGGCTCTTGCGTTTGCTCCCTCTACTGCTGACCCGTCGCTGTTTCTACGCACCGACACCTCTTTGCCGCCGTTCTACATCCTCGTGTACGTCGACGACTTGGTCTTTGCCACTGCTGACACTGCTGGACTCGCCCACGTGAAGTCCGAGCTGCAGAAGAGACACACGTGCACAGACCTCGGTGAACTGCGCAGCTACCTTGGCTTGAAGATCACCCGGGACAGAGCACGCGGCACCATTACCCTGACTCAGTCACACATGGTGCAACAGGTCCTTCAGCGCTTCGGCTTCACGTACTCCTCGCCTCAGGCCACTCCTCTGCCTACTTGCCACTCGCTCTCAGCTATGCCTTCGGATGAGTCCGTAGAGTCGAGTGGCCCATACCCAGAGCTTGTTGGCTGCCTCATGTACCTGATGACCTGCACACGACCTGACCTTGCATACCCTCTTAGCATTCTTGCACGCTATTTTGCTCCTGGGAGACACAGACCAGAGCACATGGCTGCAGCAAAGAGGGTGTTGCGCTGCTTGTGCAGTACGTCGGGCATGGGGCTAGTGCTTGGAGGGCAGAGTCCAGTGGTCCTCACTGGGCACGCGGACGCTTCTTGGGCTGACGACCAGGCTACGCAGCGGACGTCACAGGGTTACACCTTCAGCCTTGGTTCCGGCTCTGTTTCGTGGCGGGCTACTCGCTCGTCTTCTGTTCTCGGCTCCAGTTGTGAGGCCGAGATCTACGCCGGGGCCATGGCTGCACAGGAGCTTCGTTGGCTCACCTACCTGCTGACCGACCTTGGAGAGCCGCCTCGTTCTCCTCCATTCCTGTACGTAGACAACAAGGCCATGCTGCCCTTGTGTCGAGAGCAGAGACTGGAGCACAGAACAAAGCACATTGCTCGTCGCTACTTCCTTGCTCGTGAGCTACAGCAGCGTGGTCGGTTGCGGCTTGCGTACGTGGCCTCTGAGGCCAACACTGCTGATGTTCTCACCAAGGCACTTGCGCCTTGTGATCATGAGCGCTTCCGTACTCAGCTTGGTCTTGTGCCTGTCTTGCCTCACTTGCTCACTTCTTGACCTTGCTTGTACTGTCACATATATATACACCTGCTCTTGTTTGCTTAGCTTCTTACATATATATGTGCTCCTGCATGTTAACTGGCCTTGTGGCCTTGAACTTGTGCTCGGAATGTGTGGTGACTTTGTGATCCACCCTGAGTTTTGCTTTGCTTTGCTTGACTGGTGTTGTGACCCCTTGTTCTCCCCCACTTTGCCTATGGGGGTGTGTCAAATTATAATGTTGTTTAGGCTTTAGTGGGGTAGCCCATATGGGGTACACATTTCTAGGGTTGCATATTTGTATTACTTTCATTCCATAGTCACTTTCATTCTCGTTCTAATTTCCGCACGCTTCCCTAGGATCAATTGGGGATCACCAGTGGACCTCTGACACCACAATATTGCGTTATAGTCAGCTTCGCTTTCACAATACACAAATTTGAAAGCGATAAACGCTTAGAATTTTTTCATACCTCTCTTGAGGTCCCTGAAGGCGATAATCGGAGTGGCTTTGGAGCTGGTCCAGGCTCAGGTCATGTCGCTTTGGATTGCATCATCTACGGGTTGCGCAATATTGATTTGGTGTATAACGAGGGGGAGGTCATCGAGGACGTGGGAGGGAGCTCTTTGGGTGGAGGCTCAAGTTTGACGGGCGCCATAGCGCGTTGTCGTGGGGTGCTTACTTATCCTACATGGGGTTCTATGTATGGAGACACGAGTGCTTTCATATATGAAGCCACATGATCACTTTCTAGGTTAGTTTAATTCAGTTGGAAGGTGGCATTGAGTTGGCGTTTATGATATGTATGGCCTGTGTAGTAATAAATAACATCCGCTGTACCTAACTAATTTGTTTATAGGCGATGACTGTATTTGATGGATATCATAGCACATCATTACAAAATAGGACTTCACCTGGTTTGGCACTCTGACGCGCCCCGCCTATTTCAAGCGGGAAGCGCACAAAGGTGTGCTTTGTAGAAAGCGTGGGAACCCAATCCAACAACCCAAACTACCCGGGAAATGATTGCTATCGGATGAGCTAACCGGTCAATTCCACTGGCATTCAGATTTCGCCAGTGCTGGCTTGCGAGTGTATGCAATTGACGGAATGGGAGGAGAAATGTCGGCCCGGCGGAAAAACCTCGGGGTTACCCGTGTTTAGGGTTGAGGCTCCCCAATCGCATGTCATCCAGACGGGGTTTATGTTTTTCTGACCGCGGGCAGTTAACGGTTCTCCAGCGCCTTTCCTGACGGCCGTGAGTTACTTTTATTCGCAAATCGCACTGGAAAAATTTGCATGCAGGTGATGTTGTCCTATGAGCTAACTACTCTCCGCCGGGTTTATCTCTACCGGGTCAATCCACTCTCAAGCGTCACATTACCACGTGCCAGTCCAGACCCTCCAGCATTTCGCAGCTCATCACGTCCGTCCATCTGCCGTTCGTGCATCTTCACCGTACTCTCTAGCTTTTCTCTTCGTCAAAACCAGAATTACTTGGCAAACGAAATAGCATTTCGCCCAACAACTTTGAGAGGATTGCATACAGCATGGAAACAGCTGACGCTGGCAGTCGAATGGGTGTTCAGCAAAAGCGAACAAATCCACTAAGTTTACGGGGAGTTACGAGGTGGATAATCAGGCATGAAGTTCGCGACGCCCGTGAGCTATCTTATCAGCTACCAAAAACCACACATGCACCAAGTTTATCTCGAGTGTCTCTTAACTCATATATAGTTAAAGGGAGCACCAGCTTGAATAGACAGGCATGTCGATCTCAGAGGAGCTAGCGGCGTCGCTGGGAGTGGCTCCCTCCCTGATCACCCTCCTGCTCTGCCTCTTCTCGTCCATCCCCGCGGCTCTGGTCGTGCGCTTCTTCCCGGGTCCCACGCTGAAGCATCTCTACAGCATTGCCGCCGGAGGGGCTCTCTGCTGGGTGGCGTATGGCGGCCTTCACGGCAAGTCTCATAACCCTCTGTGGTACCTAGCAGCATACGCGTGTTCCATTTCAGTGGTTCTCGTCGCAAGTGACTGGAATGCATTCAGCAAGTCGGTTTTGCTTGAAGCCAGCTAGACCGCCAGCAGTCTGTTATCTGCAATCTTATCACAAGTCCCATCATATCGCTCCACTGATCGAAATCGCCACTCCATCGCGTGCTTTCGCCAATGCAGCGAGCCTCAACTTCTGGGGCCTCACCCTCGCGTCGTACGCGCTCATGCTCGTCCTTCCTCGCAAGTGGAGCGGCTACGGCGTGCTCTTTGGCTCCTTCACCTACCTCACCTACTGGTACGCCTCCACACCTTTCTCAATCTCTTGGTTTTGTCTTCTGTTCCCGTCCCAATGTCGCATCGTAAGAATTACATCAAGGTTTTGTTGAAGAAAACATTCTTTCCTGTCTCGTGCTTTCCACTCTCGCATGGGGTGCTAGTTAGTGCCCCTGGCTTTGAAGCTTGACCCTGATTTTGCGGGGTGTTTGAGAATTCTCACAGAAACACCCTGCAAAGTCTTTGAAGCTTGACCCTTCTTGAACCCAACACCGTTACGATGTGATCCGTCATAAGATTATGGCATTTTCTGCCTGAACTCACCGACCACATGAACAACAGGGGGGCGAATATTTTAGCCTTTCAGGAATACGCACTTTCTCGCATGGACCAGCGAGTTACATTCTGCGAGCGGACTTGTGTAGGCGGATTCGCTTTGAAACGTCCCATTTAAATGGGCTATGGAATCCGTGACTGCGCATTTCTTCACTTGAACCCTTCAGTCACATAAGCAACCTGGGAGCGGACGTGTGGAGGCAGGGAGGCGTGGACTTCACGGGCACACTCATGGTGTTCACGCTTAAGATCTCTGGGTGCGCCATGGACTACCAGGACGGCGCACTGCCAGAGGACAAGGTATTGTCTGCGGTGGTGGTAACGAGGTAACAAGATATTGTGGCAACATGATAATAAGGCTGGACATTCAAGATCGCCAGCTGTGCCATGGGCTACCAGGATGGCGCACTGCCGGACGACAAGGTATGCTTTGCAATGGTAGCAAGGTAACACGGCATCGTTGTAACTTGGTAACATGGTAACAAGTCTTGACGCTCATGATGATGTTTCCGCTCAAGATTGCCAGCTGCGTGATGGATGACCAGGACGGCGCTCTGCTGGGCTAGAAGGTATGCTCCACGATGGTTGACATCCAAGGCGCAGCACTGCATGTGCAAGAATAGGTTGGCGCAGCACTGCATGTGCTGTGCAAGAATAGGTTGGCGCAACACTGCATGTGCAAGAATAGGTTGGCGCGCAACATTCTCAACACAGATTGATGTTTCTTCCTTTCTTCCCCCATCTCACCACTTCTCCACTCCCCTTGCTCCGTCCTTCCGCCTCTCCCCGCCAACCAGGCACAGCACCGCATGTACAGCAACAGGCTGGTGCGGCTCTCTCGGGACATGCAACAGTCCACTCACATTCTTCTCCTCTTCCCCCTCGCGTCCACCAGGCGCAGCACCGCATGTACAGCAACAGGCTGCCACGCCTGTTCACCACATGATGACTCCTCTTCCTCTCTTCCTCCGTCCTTCCGCCCGTCTCCGCCCCCAGACGCAGCGCCGCATGTGCAGCAACAGGCTGCCACGGCTCTTTCGGGATGCACGCAACACTCCACCCACATCCTTCTACTCCACCCCCTTCTCTCCTCCCCCCAGGCGCAGCGCCGCACGTACAGCAACAGGCTGGCGCGGCTGCCGTCGGTGGTGGAGTTTGTGTCGTTCGTGTTCTTCCCAGGCGCCGCGCTGGTGGGACCCGTGTTCAACCTCAAGCAGTACCAGGCTTATGCCGCTGGGCAAGGGGTGAGTGCGGGGGACGGGGAGTGATGGGGAGGGAGGAAGTGGGGGGGTGGGAGGAAGTGTGGGGGAGGGAGGAAGTGGGGGGGGTGGGAAGAAGTGGGGGGGCGGGAGGAAGTGGGGGGTTGGGAGGAAGAAGGGCGTCTCAACCAGTGCCATGCTGGTGGGGTGGGGTGGGACTCGTGTTCAAATTCAAGCAACAGCACCAGGCGTATGCTGCTAGGCAAGGGGTGATTCTAGGGAGGTGTGAGTGCAGGGAGGTGTGAGTGCAGGGAGGTGTGAGTGCAGGGAGGTGTGAGTGCAGGGAGGTGTGAGTGCAGGGATTGGGAGGAAGGAGGAAGCGAGTGTTTTGGGATGGTGTTTGAGTGGGACGAAGGGCAGAAAGCGCCGTGCTCATTCGAATTGTGACCAGCTTCAACAAGTACCAGGCGTGCGTTGCTGAGCAAGCAAAGGGTAAAGGCGAGTGCGGGTTTTGAGGCGCCTCAAGCGCCGCGCTCGTGAAACTTGTGACCAACTTCCACAAGTACCAGTCGTACGTTGCTGAGCAATGGGTAAAGGCGAGTGCGGGGAGGGAAGTGAAGGAGAAGGAGGAAGTGATGCGACCGAATACACGCGGTGCTTGGTCAACTTGTAGCGATAGCAGGCTTATGTGGCTTGGTCAACTTGAAGCGATTGCAGGCTTATGTGGCTGGCTGGGGACGGGGCCCAGTGTCTCCGGTCCCCTGTCTGTCCTTGGACTCCCCACTCCTGCGCCCCCTGTACCCCGTACCTGCAACCCTGTCTTCTGTACCTGCAACCCTGCTTCTGTACCTGCAACCCTGTCTTCTGTACCTGCAACCCTGTCTTCTGTACCTGCAACCCTGTCTTCTGTACCTGCAACCCTGTCTTCTGTACCTGCAACCCTGTCTTCTGTACCTGCAACCCTGTCTTCTGTACCTGCAACCCTGTCTTCTGTACCTGCAACCCTGTCTTCTGTACCTGCAACCCTGTCTTCTGTACCTGCAACCCTGTCTTCTGTACCTGCAACCCTGTCTTCTGTACCTGCAACCCTGTCTTCTGTACCTGCAACCCTGTCTTCTGTACCTGCAACCCTGTCTTCTGGTTAACCTTGCAACCCTGTCTTCTGTACCTGCAAACCCTGTCTTCTGTACCTGCAAACCCTGTCTTCTGTACCTGCAAACCCTGTCTTCTGTACCTGCAACCCTGTCTTCTGTACCTGCAACCCTGTCTTCTGTACCTGCAACCCTGTCTTCTGTACCTGCAACCCTGTCTTCTGTACCTGCAACCCTGTCTTCTGTACCTGCAACCCTGTCTTCTGTACCTGCAACCCTGTCTTCTGTACCTGCAACCCTGTCTTCTGTACCTGCAACCCTGTCTTCTGTACCTGCAACCCTGTCTTCTGTACCTGCAACCCTGTCTTCTGTACCTGCAACCCTGTCTTCTGTACCTGCAACCCTGTCTTCTGTACCTGCAACCCTGTCTTCTGTACCTGCAACCCTGTCTTCTGTACCTGCAACCCTGTCTTCTGTACCTGCAACCCTGTCTTCTGTACCTGCAACCCTGTCTTCTGTACCTGCAACCCTGTCTTCTGTACCTGCAACCCTGTCTTCTGTACCTGCAACCCTGTCTTCTGTACCTGCAACCCTGTCTTCTGTACCTGCAACCCTGTCTTCTGTACCTGCAACCCTGTCTTCTGTACCTGCAACCCTGTCTTCTGTACCTGCAACCCTGTCTTCTGTACCTGCAACCCTGTCTTCTGTACCTGCAACCCTGTCTTCTGTACCTGCAACCCTGTCTTCTGTACCTGCAACCCTGTCTTCTGTACCTGCAACCCTGTCTTCTGTACCTGCAACCCTGTCTTCTGTACCTGCAACCCTGTCTTCTGTACCTGCAACCCTGTCTTCTGTACCTGCAACCCTGTCTTCTGTACCTGCAACCCTGTCTTCTGTACCTGCAACCCTGTCTTCTGTACCTGCAACCCTGTCTTCTGTACCTGCAACCCTGTCTTCTGTACCTGCAACCCTGTCTTCTGTACCTGCAACCCTGTCTTCTGTACCTGCAACCCTGTCTTCTGTACCTGCAACCCTGTCTTCTGTACCTGCAACCCTGTCTTCTGTACCTGCAACCCTGTCTTCTGTACCTGCAACCCTGTCTTCTGTACCTGCAACCCTGTCTTCTGTACCTGCAACCCTGTCTTCTGTACCTGCAACCCTGTCTTCTGTACCTGCAACCCTGTCTTCTGTACCTGCAACCCTGTCTTCTGTACCTGCAACCCTGTCTTCTGTACCTGCAACCCTGTCTTCTGTACCTGCAACCCTGTCTTCTGTACCTGCAACCCTGTCTTCTGTACCTGCAACCCTGTCTTCTGTACCTGCAACCCTGTCTTCTGTACCTGCAACCCTGTCTTCTGTACCTGCAACCCTGTCTTCTGTACCTGCAACCCTGTCTTCTGTACCTGCAACCCTGTCTTCTGTACCTGCAACCCTGTCTTCTGTACCTGCAACCCTGTCTTCTGTACCTGCAACCCTGTCTTCTGTACCTGCAACCCTGTCTTCTGTACCTGCAACCCTGTCTTCTGTACCTGCAACCCTGTCTTCTGTACCTGCAACCCTGTCTTCTGTACCTGCAACCCTGTCTTCTGTACCTGCAACCCTGTCTTCTGTACCTGCAACCCTGTCTTCTGTACCTGCAACCCTGTCTTCTGTACCTGCAACCCTGTCTTCTGTACCTGCAACCCTGTCTTCTGTACCTGCAACCCTGTCTTCTGTACCTGCAACCCTGTCTTCTGTACCTGCAACCCTGTCTTCTGTACCTGCAACCCTGTCTTCTGTACCTGCAACCCTGTCTTCTGTACCTGCAACCCTGTCTTCTGTACCTGCAACCCTGTCTTCTGTACCTGCAACCCTGTCTTCTGTACCTGCAACCCTGTCTTCTGTACCTGCAACCCTGTCTTCTGTACCTGCAACCCTGTCTTCTGTACCTGCAACCCTGTCTTCTGTACCTGCAACCCTGTCTTCTGTACCTGCAACCCTGTCTTCTGTACCTGCAACCCTGTCTTCTGTACCTGCAACCCTGTCTTCTGTACCTGCAACCCTGTCTTCTGTACCTGCAACCCTGTCTTCTGTACCTGCAACCCTGTCTTCTGTACCTGCAACCCTGTCTTCTGTACCTGCAACCCTGTCTTCTGTACCTGCAACCCTGTCTTCTGTACCTGCAACCCTGTCTTCTGTACCTGCAACCCTGTCTTCTGTACCTGCAACCCTGTCTTCTGTACCTGCAACCCTGTCTTCTGTACCTGCAACCCTGTCTTCTGTACCTGCAACCCTGTCTTCTGTACCTGCAACCCTGTCTTCTGTACCTGCAACCCTGTCTTCTGTACCTGCAACCCTGTCTTCTGTACCTGCAACCCTGTCTTCTGTACCTGCAACCCTGTCTTCTGTACCTGCAACCCTGTCTTCTGTACCTGCAACCCTGTCTTCTGTACCTGCAACCCTGTCTTCTGTACCTGCAACCCTGTCTTCTGTACCTGCAACCCTGTCTTCTGTACCTGCAACCCTGTCTTCTGTACCTGCAACCCTGTCTTCTGTACCTGCAACCCTGTCTTCTGTACCTGCAACCCTGTCTTCTGTACCTGCAACCCTGTCTTCTGTACCTGCAACCCTGTCTTCTGTACCTGCAACCCTGTCTTCTGTACCTGCAACCCTGTCTTCTGTACCTGCAACCCTGTCTTCTGTACCTGCAACCCTGTCTTCTGTACCTGCAACCCTGTCTTCTGTACCTGCAACCCTGTCTTCTGTACCTGCAACCCTGTCTTCTGTACCTGCAACCCTGTCTTCTGTACCTGCAACCCTGTCTTCTGTACCTGCAACCCTGTCTTCTGTACCTGCAACCCTGTCTTCTGTACCTGCAACCCTGTCTTCTGTACCTGCAACCCTGTCTTCTGTACCTGCAACCCTGTCTTCTGTACCTGCAACCCTGTCTTCTGTACCTGCAACCCTGTCTTCTGTACCTGCAACCCTGTCTTCTGTACCTGCAACCCTGTCTTCTGTACCTGCAACCCTGTCTTCTGTACCTGCAACCCTGTCTTCTGTACCTGCAACCCTGTCTTCTGTACCTGCAACCCTGTCTTCTGTACCTGCAACCCTGTCTTCTGTACCTGCAACCCTGTCTTCTGTACCTGCAACCCTGTCTTCTGTACCTGCAACCCTGTCTTCTGTACCTGCAACCCTGTCTTCTGTACCTGCAACCCTGTCTTCTGTACCTGCAACCCTGTCTTCTGTACCTGCAACCCTGTCTTCTGTACCTGCAACCCTGTCTTCTGTACCTGCAACCCTGTCTTCTGTACCTGCAACCCTGTCTTCTGTACCTGCAACCCTGTCTTCTGTACCTGCAACCCTGTCTTCTGTACCTGCAACCCTGTCTTCTGTACCTGCAACCCTGTCTTCTGTACCTGCAACCCTGTCTTCTGTACCTGCAACCCTGTCTTCTGTACCTGCAACCCTGTCTTCTGTACCTGCAACCCTGTCTTCTGTACCTGCAACCCTGTCTTCTGTACCTGCAACCCTGTCTTCTGTACCTGCAACCCTGTCTTCTGTACCTGCAACCCTGTCTTCTGTACCTGCAACCCTGTCTTCTGTACCTGCAACCCTGTCTTCTGTACCTGCAACCCTGTCTTCTGTACCTGCAACCCTGTCTTCTGTACCTGCAACCCTGTCTTCTGTACCTGCAACCCTGTATTCTGTACCTGCAACCCTGTATTCTGTACCTGCAACCCTGTATTCTGTACCTGCAACCCTGTATTCTGTACCTGCAACCCTGTATTCTGTACCTGCAACCCTGTATTCTGTACCTGCAACCCTGTATTCTGTACCTGCAACCCTGTATTCTGTACCTGCAACCCTGTATTCTGTACCTGCAACCCTGTATTCTGTACCTGCAACCCTGTATTCTGTACCTGCAACCCTGTATTCTGTACCTGCAACCCTGTATTCTGTACCTGCAACCCTGTATTCTGTACCTGCAACCCTGTATTCTGTACCTGCAACCCTGTATTCTGTACCTGCAACCCTGTATTCTGTACCTGCAACCCTGTATTCTGTACCTGCAACCCTGTATTCTGTACCTGCAACCCTGTATTCTGTACCTGCAACCCTGTATTCTGTACCTGCAACCCTGTATTCTGTACCTGCAACCCTGTCTTCTGTACCTGCAACCCTGTCTTCAATTCTGTCTTCACCCCTGCCGTCGCCACTGTTGTCTCCCCTGTGTTCACCCGTGCCTCGCCCAGCTATGGTCGCCCTCTGGGGCAGTGGTGCCAAGCAAGGCAGCCGACTCCAGCAAGGGGGAGGAGGGGCAGCAGGCGGAGAACGGAAAGGGGGAGGCGGACAGGGCGCAGGGCGAGGAGGTGTGCGAGGGGAAGGGCGAGGGGAAGGGCGAGGGGAAGGGCGAGGGGAAGCTGCGAAAGATGCCGGAGCCGCTGCCGTATGCAGCACAGGCGCTGGGGAAGGCAATCATTTTCCTGGCGATGCACCACTTCCTCTCCCAGCACTTCGGCCCTGCCCTGCTCTTCCAGCCCCGCTTCCTCACCTACGGTTTTGCATACAAGTGAGTGTGTGCGGTGCAGTGCAGCCCAGAGCAGAGCAGCGTTTGCCACTTGTTCATCCCTCCACCACTTCTGCTCCCTATTCCCTGCCGTCCCCCCCTGCCACCCGCGGGGGGTGGGGCCCCCCTTGTCACCTGCTCCCGCTTCTCATACTCCCTCACCACTGCACCCCACCTCCCCGCCCTTTCCCCCCTCCACCTCCCCTTCTTTCTCCCTTACCCCTCTCATCACAGGTGGGGTTACCTGGTAATCGCAAGTATCTGCCTTCCATACTCAGGTCAGGTGGCTTATGAGTTGACTAGAAAATCCTCTTCCATCTCCCCTCACATCACATCACAGGTGGTTCTGCCTGGTAATGGCGGGTATCTGCTTCCGCTGCTCCTACTGCTTCATCTCTTCCCACCCTTCTCCCCCATCAACCCGTCCCCTTGTTCTGACCCCCCCTGTGTCCGACAGGTGGGGCTGCCTGGTGATGGCGGGTATCGGCTTCCGCTGCTCCTACTACTTCATCTGGAGTGTGGCGGAGGCCGCATTGATCCTCTCTGGATTCGGCTTCTCCGGCTGGACCGACTCCTCCCCCTCGCGTCCAGACTGGTGAGTTCCGAGATCTCATTGTGAAATCCACGTGGAATATGGTAGACAGTGCTGTTGTTCTGAGACGTCTCAAAACAGGAATGTGGTAGACAGTGCTGTTGTTCTTTCTGGATTCGGCTTCTCCGGCTGGACCAACTCCTTTTCCAGTCGACTCCGAACGTGTTTGGGATATGGTTGAGGATGTATTGAGAATCTATAAACCCCACCTAGACCGGCTCCTTCGCCTTGCTCTCCTGATTACCTTTGCCATTTTCTCTGGTGAATTAGCTAAGCGACTCGTCACGTAGGCCAATTTCTAATGCTTGCTCTCTGATGGGAAAAGATGGTCGCATTTCATGTGGCTGTTCATTCTCATTGTTGGTTCTTATTATCCCACATCTCGCCCCTACCGAGGTGACTTTTAGATCGACTCAAAAGTCACCAAGCGATGGTCTGATCAGTTTGGTCTTAAAGCGCACATGTAGGGAGCGTACCGGGCGAATTCGAAACACTCACATCTTGCAAAATATATGGAATGAAATGGAATGGGTGTCGGCACATGGCTTCTCATATGAGAAGCCCAATGTGCTGAGGCCCATTCGTTCTCATTGTTGGTTATTATCATCCCACACCTCTCCCCTACCCATCCATTCGAACGCCTCCACATCTCCCAAACATCCTGCCGCCTCACCTTCCACTCCGTCCGCTTCCCCCCTCCTCCAGGAGCCGGGCAAAGAACGCCAATTTCATCAAGTGTGAGATCACCACAAGTATGGCGCAGACGACTGCCTACTGGAACATGGGCGTCGGCACCTGGCTCCGCACCTGTGCGTGGGGCTCTTTGGGCTAGTGTGTGTGTTGGGGGGGGGCTGTGAACATGTGCGTGGCGCCAAGAGTGCGGAGTGGAGCGGGTAGATGAGAGACGGGTCCACCACAGATGCCTGCCTACTGGAACATGTGCGTGGGGCTCTTTGGGCTAGTGTGTGTGTTGGGGGGGGGCTGTGAACATGTGTGTGGCGCCAAGAGTGCGGAGTGGAGCGGGTAGATGAGAGACGGGTCCACCACAGATGCCTGCCTACTGGAACATGTGCGTGGGGCTCTTTGGGCTAGTGTGTGTGTTGGGGGGGGCTGTGAACATGTGCGTGGCGCCAAGAGTGCGGAGTGGAGCGGGTAGATGAGAGACGGGTCCACCACAGATGCCTGCCTACTGGAACATGTGCGTGGGGCTCTTTGGGCTAGTGTGTGTGTTGGGGGGGGGCTGTGAACATGTGCGTGGCGCCAAGAGTGCGGAGTGGAGCAGGTAGATGAGAGACGGGTCCACCACAGATGCCTGCCTACTGGAACATGTGCGTGGGGCTCTTTGGGCTAGTGTGTGTGTTGGGGGGGGGCTGTGAACATGTGCGTGGCGCCAAGAGTGCGGAGTGGAGCAGGTAGATGAGAGACGGGTCCACCACAGATGCCTGCCTACTGGAACATGTGCGTGGGGCTCTTTGGGCTAGTGTGTGTGTTGGGGGGGGGCTGTGAACATGTGCGTGGCGCCAAGAGTGCGGAGTGGAGCAGGTAGATGAGAGACGGGTCCACCACAGATGCCTGCCTACTGGAACATGTGCGTGGGGCTCTTTGGGCTAGTGTGTGTGTTGGGGGGGGGCTGTGAACATGTGCGTGGCGCCAAGAGTGCGGAGTGGAGCGGGTAGATGAGAGACGGGTCCACCACAGATGCCTGCCTACTGGAACATGTGCGTGGGGCTCTTTGGGCTAGTGTGTGTGTTGGGGGGGGCTGTGAACATGTGCGTGGCGCCAAGAGTGCGGAGTGGAGCGGGTAGATGAGAGACGGGTCCACCACAGATGCCTGCCTACTGGAACATGTGCGTGGGGCTCTTTGGGCTAGTGTGTGTGTTGGGGGGGGGCTGTGAACATGTGCGTGGCGCCAAGAGTGCGGAGTGGAGCGGGTAGATGAGAGACGGGTCCACCACAGATGCCTGCCTACTGGAACATGTGCGTGGGGCTCTTTGGGCTAGTGTGTGTGTTGGGGGGGGCTGTGAACATGTGCGTGGCGCCAAGAGTGCGGAGTGGAGCGGGTAGATGAGAGACGGGTCCACCACAGATGCCTGCCTACTGGAACATGTGCGTGGGGCTCTTTGGGCTAGTGTGTGTGTTGGGGGGGGGCTGTGAACATGTGCGTGGCGCCAAGAGTGCGGAGTGGAGCGGGTAGATGAGAGACGGGTCCACCACAGATGCCTGCCTACTGGAACATGTGCGTGGGGCTCTTTGGGCTAGTGTGTGTGTTGGGGGGGGCTGTGAACATGTGCGTGGCGCCAAGAGTGCGGAGTGGAGCGGGTAGATGAGAGACGGGTCCACCACAGATGCCTGCCTACTGGAACATGTGCGTGGGGCTCTTTGGGCTAGTGTGTGTGTTGGGGGGGGCTGTGAACATGTGCGTGGCGCCAAGAGTGCGGAGTGGAGCGGGTAGATGAGAGACGGGTCCACCACAGATGCCTGCCTACTGGAACATGTGCGTGGGGCTCTTTGGGCTAGTGTGTGTGTTGGGGGGGGCTGTAAGCACGTGCTTCGGGGCAAACAACCTGGGGCGAGGGGGTCAAGAGAAGGCGTAACTCTAAACCCATGGGGGACACCCCATAACTCAACCAAGCAATCCCACCCACATGTGCGCCGCAGCCACGTGCCGACACCCATGCTCCAGTGGGCAGGCCATTCCCCACTCCCTAAACCTGAAACCCCAAACCTGCCACCCTAGTCACGCATACTAGACCGGAAGGTCCCAAGCACATGTGCACAGCGCAGCCAGGTGCCGACGCCCATGTTCCAGTAGGTGGGCATCTGCGCCAGACTCGTCCCTCAACCACCCGCATGCCAACTGGAACATGGGTGTCGGCTCGTGGCTGCGGCGCACATGTGCGTAGGACTCGATGCAGGCCTTTGGGGGTTACGTCTTCTCAAGATTTAGGTTTTTGGGGTCTTGGGGTTGGTGCGTCGCATACAAGGCGACTTTTGAGTCGACTCAAGTCACCTTGGGGTCTCGGGGTTGGTGCGTCGCATACATGGGGATGCGAGCCGGCAGTGGTAGGATGCAGGTGGTTGAGAAAGCGAAAGTGGAAGCATTCTCTTGAACAGTCTGGGGCATGGCGTGCAAGCTCTCGAACAGGTACATTTCAAGTCGCAATTTGTATCAAGTCGCAATTTGTTTCAGACCGCTCCAATCCATGCTTCCTCTCCACCTCCCCACTCCTCCCTGTTTCCCCTCCCTCAGACGTTTACGACCGGGTGACACCGCGCTCGGGCAAGCCCACCATGTGGGCGCTCGTTTTCAAAAGCACGTCTTTCTCCCATCTGACAGATTGCTCATCCTCCAACCTGCCCACCTCCCCACTCCCCCCCACTTAACTCCCTCAGACGTGTACGACCGGGTGACACCTCGCTCGGGCAAGCCCACCATGTGGACGCTCGTTTTCACTCAAGTCGTCTCTGCGCTCTGGCATGTGAGTCGTCTCCGCGCTCTGGCTTGTGAGTCGTCTCCGCGCTCTGGCATGTGAGTCGTCTCCACGCTCTGGCATGTGAGTCGTCTCCGCGCTCTGGCATGTGAGTCGTCTCCGCGCTCTGGCATGTGAGTCGTCTCCGCGCTCTGGCATGTGAGTCGTCTCTGCGCTCTGGCATGTGAGTCGTCTCCGCGCTCTGGCATGTGAGTCGTCTCCACGCTCTGGCATGTGAGTCGTCTCCGCGCTCTGGCATGTGAGTCGTCTCCGCGCTCTGGCATGTGAGTCGTCTCCGCGCTCTGGCATGTGAGTCGTCTCCGCGCTCTGGCATGTGAGTCGTCTCCGCGCTCTGGCATGTGAGTCGTCTCCGCGCTCTGGCATGTGAGTCGTCTCCGCGCTCTGGCATGTGAGTCGTCTCCGCGCTCTGGCATGTGAGTCGTCTCCGCGCTCTGGCATGTGAGTCGTCTCCGCGCTCTTGCATGTGAGTCATCTCAAAAGCCCTTGCGCGTCCCCACCCGTCCCACACTCTCCACCTCGTCTCCCTTTGCTAACGCCTCGTCTCCCTTTGCTAACGCCTCGTCTCCCTTTGCTAACGCCTCGTCTCCCTTTGCTAACGCCTCGTTTCTGTCAATTCCTCGTCTCCTCCACCTTGTCTCCCTCAGCAAATTGGTCTTCTGAGCACCACCACCACACTCCACCCCCTCATACCCCTCTGCCTCCCATCGCCATGCCCCTCATCTCACTGTTTCCACCACACTCTACCCACTCGTACCCATCTCCTTTTTCCCCCCTCCCTCGTCGCACAGGGTCTTCAACCAGGCTACTACCTCTTCTTTGTCAATGGTGCCATCGGCCAACACACCTCCAAGCGTGTGTTTCCTCGCCTCACTGCCATTGCCTCTTTGAGATGCACAAAATGGTTGTTTGTATGAGATGCACAAAATGGTTGTTTGTATGAGATGCACAAAATGGTTGTTTGTATGAGATGCACAAAATGGTTGTTTGTATGAGATGCACAAAATGGTTGTTTGTATGAGATGCACAAAATGGTTGTTTGTATGAGATGCACAAAATGGTTGTTTGTATGAGATGCACAACCTCGTTCCAGACCTCTTCTTTGTCAATGGTGCCTTTGAAACGAGGTTCCTGGCCTCTGTGAGATGCAAAGCCTCGTTCCATACCTCTATTACATGCAAAATCTCGTTCCATACCTGCTTTGTTTGTTCAGACGCACATCTAAAGCACGACCACCGACGGCATGTGCACTAGCACTTGTTTCATGCCTAGTCCGAGGCTCAAGCCAAGTTTCCAAAGCACACTCACCCACTTATTGATCCTAACCCACACCCCGTGCATTCCCGCTCATGTGTCTGTGTGTGACATGGCACGGCATCGCATGACATGGCACGGCATCGCATGACATGGCACGGCATCGCATGACATGGCACGGCATCGCATGACATGGCATGTATCACCGCAGTGGCATTCCGGCACACGGCAGCAGCATTCCCGGAGCCATCAGCAGCAGTGAAGGCCATCCTGGACGTGCTGCAAGCCGCGTTCAAAATGCTCATCGTCAACTACTCCTTCGCTGGCTTCCTGGTACGTGGAGCATTGCTGGTACTGTGGTGGTGGTGGGGTCCTGGTGTGTTAAGAGGTTTCCTGGTATGCCGTGCCCTCCCACAAGGCAGCAGCCGTGAAGGTCACCATGCCCGCTCATGTGTCTATGTGCAAGCCATGTTCAAGATGTGCTTCGCTGGCTTCCTGGTGAGCCACAGGACCATGGGAAAGAGGAGCATGGGAAAGAGGAGCATGGGAAAGAGGAGCATGGGAAAGAGGAGCATGGGAAAGAGGAGCATGGGAAAGAGGAGCATGGGAAAGAGGAGCATGGGAAAGAGGAGCATGGGAAAGGGGAGCATGGGAAAGGGGAGCATGGGAAAGGGGAGCATGGGAAAGGGGAGGTGAAAGGGAAAGGGAAAGAGGAGCATGCCCGCGTGGTAACAGATGGGGCAGGTGTGTCACGCCTTCTTTCCTGCTGCAATCCGTGTTCAAGCAGCTCATCATGAACCACTCCTTCGCTGGCTTCCTCGTGAGCAAGGACAAGGGGAAAGGGGAAGTGACAGGGAAGAAGGGGAAAGAGGAGCACTTTTCCTGGTACCAGAAGGGCAAGGTACGTCATGCCGGCCTGGTAATGAGGGCAAGGTACATCATGCCGGCCTGGTAATGCGGGTGAGGTACGTCATGCCGGCCTCCACCCAAGCCATGTCCAAGCAGCTCATCGTGAACCACTCCTTCGCTGGCTTCCTCGTGAGAAAGGCCTTCGCTGGCTTCCTCGTGAGAAAGGAGAAAGAGGAACTCCTCTCTGCCTCTCTGGTATCTCATGCCAGCCTTCCCCAGCCGTGTTCAAGAAGCTCCTCATGAACTACCCCATTTCTGTGAATTCACAAATTTATATTCCGCTCTCTGCTATCCCCCCTCCTCCCCCCCTCCCCCCCAGGTGCTGCAAGCGGGGCAAGCCATAGTGGTGTGGCGTTCACTCCTCTTCATGGGCATGATCGTCCCTGTGTGTGTCTCTCTCTCTCTCATGCGCCGCATCCCTTTTCTCTCCCATTCCTTTAGCCTGCCCCCCTCTTCCATCCCCCCTCTCCCATCCGCTCCTTTCCTGTGGCTGTGAACTCACAAATTTGCATCATCCACCCCCCCCCCCCCCCCCCACCAGGTGCTGCAAGCGGAGCAGACCATAGCAGTGTGGCGGTCGCTCTTCTTTATGGGAACGATCGTTCCCATCCTGCTCAACGTGCTGCTTTCCGTCTTTCCCACGCGCCCCCGACGCCACCGCAAGAAGGCTGAGTGATCTTCGATCAAATTTGGCTGTTGCTCGCATTTGCGCCCACGCACTCCTGGCGCCAAAAAATGGTCATGTTATGTCTGTTGGAAACAATAAGTCCTAAGTGCGCTTCTGTCGTATCAAAATCCAAGGTACCAAGCGAAGCAGTCCCAATCGAAGCATCGAGTCAACCTCGGAGGTTAGGGTAACCGCCTGGAGGTTACGAGAAAGTCAAAGGTCGCTGACCTTTGACTCGACAATTACAGCGCGACAGTTAAGGACACACAACTGACTCGTTACAGAGCAGTTGCCCGAGTCGCGCTATATCGAACCGCAACAGCAATACAGTGACCTATCTATTCCCTGTACTCTTATATAAATCCTTGTATTTGCTTGTTTAATTCAATCAACTTTGCTCTCACACACCAGTGCAAGGTCGGTTCAAATTCTTCACTAAACGCTTCCGCCATTACAACTACTTCACCTAGAGTTATCCCTTGCAAAGATCCTAAGGGGCTATCTCAGCCCAACCTGGTATGAGAGCAGACAAGGGAAACTCTACTCTTTTTAATATCATTACAAGACATGGCAACAAACAAGGAAAGGAGCTCCCCTAATGGCTCCTCGGGCACTACTCCTACTCTATCGCCAGCCTCTGGCCTGCAGACAGAAGAAGGCACGGCAACAAGACCAAGAGGAACGTCAACCGAGACCCCCATGAACCACCCTTCGGACTTTGACCAGAACATGATGGAGAAATTTTTCTCCTTCATGTCCTTCTACGAACAACACCAGCAGTCGGGACCTGCACAAACACACAACAGCAACAACGGAGTGACACCCATGAGTCTTGATGGGTCGTCATATGCGCGAGGAAACCAGCAGCAGCAACCTACCTTTGCTCCGTACGAGCGCGGGTCAATCAGCTTCGTGCCCCACCCGCAACCTTCACCTGGACAAGAAAGACCACTGGACGCACTTCAAGTTCAGTCGCAGTTTGCACACGTCTTGAAACTGCAAACGTCAAGACCCTTCGACGGCAAAGACTTCTTTACCTGGTCCTTTGAATTCGAGCTGATGATGGAGGGCGCGCAGATACTCGGCTTCTTCGACGGGTCCCTGCAGTATCCAGCCAACGGGACACAATATGAAAAGCAGCAGTATACGTATCAATCAATGATGGCGTATACAATCCTATTGAGGAACGTGACACCAACTCAGCAGCAGAACATTCGCTCTTACCGGACCTTCGGCAACTCGGCGGAGCTCGCGTACAGCCATCTGAAGAACCTGTATCAAGCAACAGACAGTGTAAACCAGAGCAGGTTAATGGCGCAGTTGACGACAGTCGAAATGAAACCAGGAGAAAAAGGACTGGCGTATATCAGCCGATGTCGCGAACTGCGCGACAAGCTGCTTCGATGCGGAGGGTCAATCTCTGAAGACGCCTTCGTGACAGTCATCATTGGTGGGCTTGGTCCTCAGTGGCGCGCCACCAAAGCCATTCTTCGAGCCCACGGAAGAATCTCTGAAGCTGCACTCTGCGCCGAAATACATGCCGAGCAGCAAGATATGGACCTGCAGGAAGAACGACACAGAAAGAAAACGACAGTATCAGAGTTCGCATTCCACACTCAACGACGACACAGCAATTATAACAACCGACAGCAGCAACCGAAGATAGTACCTCCCTTCTGCCACATCTGCAAAACTTCAGGGCACCCGCGCACACACTGCCCGAATCGTCAGCAATCAACGGCACCACAGCGACAACTTCGACCTTCAAGCTCCCAAATGGCTTCAACACAAGCAAGTGCGACGACCACTATTCAAGCTTCAACGACTTCACCCGGACAACCTGCACAAGGAGCAAGAAATATAATCAACTGCATGACGAAGATAACCGATTCATGTACAACCGAATCACCACCACACTACTCACCGGAAGAAGAGCTTGACAACAGAACGCCTCGCCGTGAGCTACTCCAGCCGAATCCAACGTACGCCGCCATCGCTCAAAGTGAACCGTCCGGCCAAGACACCTGGTTCTTGGACAGTTGCTGCGGGCAACACATGTGCTCGTCCGGGCGTTTCGTACAACGCGAACATCGACTCCAACGGGAAGTGATCATCACGGTTGCCAACAACCAAAACCTGCGCACACGAAGACAAGGAGTGGTACAGCTTCAGTCAAGAGAAACAAATGTCATACTGCACATGTCTAAGGTACTCATCGCTGAAGGACTCGGCTACAACTTACTGAGCGTTAGCCAGTTGATGGCGAAAGGAATTCATCTGGAAGCCGACAGCACGACCCAGGAGTTCAAACTTTACCACGGGAGAGGCGGTCTCTACATCGGGAAAGCAGTGCTGAAGAACAACGTCTTCGTCCTCGACTTCGTTCCTGACCTGGGCACTGCAGACAGCGACGCCATCGTGAATTTCACTGACTGGACACACCCTCCGGATCTCGACCCCGACTTCAGCCCAGGAGGCTTCTGGTACTCGCACACCATTCCTGAAGCAGAACGAACACGAGCATTAGCAACAATTCGACAATCAGCAGCAGTAACAACATCGGCAGCAGCAACAACATCAGCAGCAGTAACAACATCGGCAGCAGCAACAACATCGGCAGCAGCAACAACATCAGCAGCAGCAGGAACAACGACACCAGTCACAGTCAACGAAGCACCACCAACACCCGCGAAACAGCTGAATCCGACTCAACGTGAAGTCCACCGAAGCGCCAACCTCGTCGCCAGCTTTTACTCCAACTCCGACGCATATCAGCGTTCACCTGGACACCGCGCCTCTGAAGAGATCTGGCACGCACGAACAGGACATCCAAGCAACACGGTTTTGAATAACACGATAAGAGCAGGAGTCCTTGACAAAGATTCTCTACTTCTACCCGATGGCAGAGAACTCCAGAAGGCACGAGGGACTTGCCTTATATGTCCCGAAGCTGACTTACCTCATCGACCGTTTGCTTCACATCACAACCCGAGCGCTCCAGCGTACGCACCACTCGAAAAAGTCTACAGCGACATCCTCTACAATCGCGAGCCAGGACAAGTCAACTACAACTACACCATCACCTTCATCGACGCCGCCACTCGATACGTCTGGCATCGCAACCTACCCAGCCGCGACATGGCGCTCGCAGCATTCGCCGCCTGGCTACCGATAGCAGAGAGAGAGTCTGGAACACAACTGAAAAATTTTCAGTCAGACGGAGGTGGCGAGTACACCTCTCACCGCTTCAAGCAGTTCTTGGCGGAAAGGGGGATCAAGCAACTCCTCTCCCTTCCCTACGCACATCAGCAGCAAGGTGTTGCAGAACAACTGAACAGGACCCTGCAGAACAGCATGCGCAAACTATTACGTGGCATGCGGCTACCCAACCACCAGTGGCCAGCAGCAATGGACCACGCTGTCATGCTACACAACTTGTTGTCGTCGTCGTCACTCCCGAACAACGCATCACCGCATCTGCTGTGGACAGGGAAGCAGGGCAGCACGAAAATGTTACGAGTTTTCGGGTGCATGGTACAGTACAGACCCCCAGAAGCACGAGCGGGAAGATTTTCGCAACGGGCACAGTGGGGACTACACCTCGGCATCGAGAAAAATTACAACGCATGGAAAATCTTCGACGTCCACACAAAGGAAACAGTAGCAGCACGTGACGTGATCTTCTACGAAAGACTCACCCTTCAGACGTACCTCGCCAACTTGCACGAGAATCGGGACCTCACCAGTGGTTTTCGTGGTGACCGAGCCTTCGCGTCAGCAGCGGACGAAGCAGACTGGGATGAACAGAACGTCGACAACGCCTCAGAAGAAGCCGGACCTCTCCCATACTGCTCCGTCGACGTGCCCATGGATGAGGATAATCCTCGCGACAGTAACAACGCCGAAATCTTCTACCGTTTCGCCGACGATGGTTACGTAACACCTGTGACAGTCAACACCAACGAAGCAGAAAGGGTAGGGCCAAATTTCATGCCCGACCCAGAAACGGGAGACGAAGCAGCTTATCCCGAGGATCCAGAACTCCCTCGATACTCACAGACTGGGCTGCAAATCCTCGGCCTCGTCACCGCAGTCCACGGGAACACACGCAGCTCGCTTCCTAAGGAGCCTGCAACGGTTCAGCAGGCTCTGGGGGGGGAACACAGGGAGAAATGGCGTGAAGCCATGGATAGAGAACTGAAGGCATTAGAGGAACGCAACACTTGGAAGGTTGTTCCCGTAAGCGTGGCACGGAACAAAACCATCCTTACCGGGAAATGGGTCTTCCGCATCAAGACGAAAGCAGACGGCACGATCGAAAAATTCAAAGCACGCTGGGTCGTACGTGGATTCGACCAAGAGCAAGGACGAGACTTCACCGAGACCTTTGCTCCAGTCAGCCGCCACACGTCACTCCGAATTCTCCTCGCCATTGCCGCCATGAAGAAGAAGAAGTTACGGCAGATCGACGTCGCGAATGCCTTCCTCTACGCACCTGTGGATGCAGAAATCTACGTCGAGCTCCCGCACGGTTCCCACGGCGAACCCAACCGAATCTGTCAACTACTTAAGTCGCTCTACGGGATCAAGCAGGCACCGCGACTGTGGCAGCAGTACCTGCACGCCCGTCTCATCCGCATCGGCTTTAGTCAACTACCTCACGACCAAGGCATGTACCGCCTCACTAAGGGAAGCGACTACGTTCTCCTGATCGTCTACGTGGACGATCTCCTCTACATTGGGTCAACCGACGGCATCGCCACGTGGTTCGAAGGAGAGCTCCAGAAAGACCTCACGCTCACGGTCTCCTCCACCGTTACACAGTACCTCGGGCTCAACATCCGCGAAGAAGAAAACGCCATCTATCTAAGCGCCGAGAAATACGCCGACACCATCGCGAAACGCTTCAGCCTCACACCAAGCGCCATCTCCACGCCCTACCGCTACACATCAGGAACCGAGAAGGAACGAACTACTCTACTAAAGCCCGCCGGCATACGCGACTATCAGAAGAAGCTCGGATGCCTGCTATTCGCCGCCGTCACCTGCCGTCCTGACTTATCCTACTCCGCAAGTCAGCTCGCCACCTATCTCAAGAAGCCTGAAGCTGAACACCTGGCGGAACTTGATCGCGCTCTCCACTACTTCGTCAGCACCGCGACGATCGGGCTAACCTACCACAAGAGCGCAGCTACACCGACTAAGCTAATCGGCTACGTCGACGCCGATCACGCCGGCGACACCGACAACAGGCGCTCACGCACCGGCTATGTCTACCGCCTTGAGCCTATCGGTCCTATCTCCTAGCAGTCGAGCAAGCAGGAGTTAATCGCACTATCTTCAGCAGAAGCAGAATATATTGCACTCTGCTCAGCCACCAAGGAGGGACTTTACCTTCGCGAACAACTGGAAGAAGCGAAGCTAGCCGAGTTACCCAGCTTCACCGTGTTCTGCGACAACCAGTCAGCAATTCGCATCGCCAACAAAAACGGCTTCGCAAACAGGACGAAACACATCGCCCTGCGCTATTTCTTCGTGAAGGACGAGATAGAAAAAGGGAAACTCGATCTGTCATACTGTCCAACATCCGAGATGGCAGCCGATTACTTGACGAAGAAACTCGGCAAGCATAAGTTCGAATACTGCATGATGCTGACTGGACAAGGCCACGTCACCAGCAGTAACACTCCAGAAGCGAAGGGGAGTGTTGGAAACAATAAGTCCTAAGTGCGCTTCTGTCGTATCAAAATCCAAGGTACCAAGCGAAGCAGTCCCAATCGAAGCATCGAGTCAACCTCGGAGGTTAGGGTAACCGCCTGGAGGTTACGAGAAAGTCAAAGGTCGCTGACCTTTGACTCGACAATTACAGCGCGACAGTTAAGGACACACAACTGACTCGTTACAGAGCAGTTGCCCGAGTCGCGCTATATCGAACCGCAACAGCAATACAGTGACCTATCTATTCCCTGTACTCTTATATAAATCCTTGTATTTGCTTGTTTAATTCAATCAACTTTGCTCTCACACACCAGTGCAAGGTCGGTTCAAATTCTTCACTAAACGCTTCCGCCATTACAACTACTTCACCTAGAGTTATCCCTTGCAAAGATCCTAAGGGGCTATCTCAGCCCAACAATGTCAAATAATGGAATCTTCGCCGGTTGATATGCACTGTTGTGTTCGGTGCTGAGCCGTCACTGACCACTGCGCTGCCCGACCTTCTATAGCGGCACATAAGAGGAGGGATATAAGGGCATACACCAGCTGTAGTTGATTCGTGCGAATCAAGATTAGGTAGGTACGCAGGTGTAGTTGAAATTGAGAAGCATCAAAGCCTACGGAAGAATAAAGCGAAACAGATTGCACATGGTTCCGTTATATTGTGTTTCGTACTTCCCCTCTTCTGTCAAATCCGACACATCACATGATTATGTCTGGTATAAAAATTCAGGTTATAGTGCCAACAATCTCTTGACGGAGAAGATCGTCTTTATCGAATATGACAAAAATGCGCAGAAGCACAAATTCGAACCGAAGCTCATAACGAGCACCAAGGTACACCCTGCCCATCCCCCCCTACATAGCCATCCAGCCCAGGCAGTTACTCCTCTGTGGTACGTCATCTTTAGGAGGTTCGTGTCAGTGCCTCCTAAACCGTCGCATCTGCTTCCACGCGCGCATCTGATACGAGGTAGCGCCATGTTGTCGCGCCATCTCGGCCGCAAGGCCGCGGATCTCGGGATCGCGCGGTCTCCGGCACTGCTGCGATCGATCGCAACCGTTCCCATCGCCGACCGCCATGCGATCTTGTCGTCACCGCCTTTCACGCCCGTTCCATCCTCTATTACCGAATCGCCCGCAGCGTTCCCATCGCCACCCCATTTCTGCTTCTCCCGAGGTTCGTTTTTGCGAGAGTCGATGAAACGGCTGTTCAGCTTGTGCAGCCGCGGTTAGGGTTTCCTTATTTACCAGCTCAGAAGCACTTGGGGCTTCTTTTTGCGTTGTCTGCCGTGCAAGTGGATTCCACTGATTCGTACAGAAACAACTTAGGTGGACGATTGTTGTCAGTGTTTTTTTAAGAACCTACGCCATCAAGGTCACGGTTTCCGCTTAATGGCTGATGTTTTTTTATGTCGAATCGCTAGATTCGTAGCACGGCTGTCGTCGTACGATCTATCGACGTCGGAAATCCTTGTCCTGTTCCCCTTTCCCTTGTTTTCTTCCCTGTGTCTTTCGTCTTCCCTTTTGCCAACCTTCACACATCCATGGCACACGCGAGCGTTTACGTGTCTGATTGTTTGCGCACGAGGCACTTAGATGGGCCATGGGAAAGCTTATCTGAGTGTCTAGGTGCTCTCAGATGGGCTGACTAGCTGGCGCATGTTGCGTCAGTGCCAGCTCCTGCATTTTCTGTTAAAATACCTTAGACGAGTTTTTTCCTCGCTTCCTTCGTCCCACATTCCATTCCCTCGTCTAGATCCTCTCTTGCCTCTTCATTCATTCTCCTGATGCTTGCTTTTTCGTTCCTCCCTGTTCCTCCTCGTACCTTTGTCATCTCCTTCCCTCACAAACTGAATGCCCCTCAACCTTTCCAAGGCTGTCAAGCCTCTCGTGTCTTTCAAGCCTCTCGTGCCTTTCAAGCCTCTCGTGCCTTTCAAGCCTCTCGAGCCTCGCATGCCTGTTTCAATCCTCGCATCTGTCGCGTTTCGCCTTTTTAAACCTTCCACTGCCACACCTCCATCCGTACTCCCATCTCCGCTCTTATCCCCACGCCCATCCTTCCCATCCCTGCCCACCCGTCGCATCCCTGCACTAACCCTCCCATTCACCAGCCCTCCTCTCATTCTTCCGTTGTCCTTCCCCTGATCCCTGCCAGGTTTCGCTGTGGACACAGATTTGCCCGCCCCCATCCACCCCTGCATCTTCCCATCCACCAGAGCTCGCTAACAAGACGCCTGCCGCTCCCATAATCAACGACCAAGCCACCCACCAGATCTCTACGGTTATGCTCTGTCCCTCACGCCACTCCTCTCCCCCCTTAGATGCTCCGTCCCTCCCACCCCTTTCCTCCCCCCTCACAGGCTTTTCTGTCAATGCAGCACTGACCACCAGCCAGCCCACCCGTTTCCCCCACGGAGCTCGCCCCCAAGGCGCCCCCCACCACCAGCACCTACGACCAAACCAGTCCACCACCATTTCGCAGCAATTAAGCTCCGTCTCTCACATCTCTCCCTCCCCCCCCCTCACAGGCTTTGCAGCAGATGCTGCACTCACCACTGCTCCGCCCATCGGCCCCACGGAGCTCGCCCTGAAAACCCCCTCCGCCACCATCACCTACGACACCACCATCTACGAGCGCCTGCCATGTCTTGACCATACAGCCCAGTATTTCCCTCGGGTGCTTCCCCTTTCCCACCCCTCCCCTCCCCCACCCCATCACAGGCTTTGCTGCCGATGCAGCACTCACCACAGCTCCGCCCATCTCCCCCACGGAGCTCGCCCTGAAAACCCCCTCCGCCACCATCACCTACGACACCACCATCCACGAGCGCCTGCCGCCCGGCGACCCGTCCAAGCGTGCCTTCACCTACCTCGTCCTCACGGGCGGCCGATTCATCTACGCGTCTGCCCTCCGCCTGCTCGTGCTGAAATTCATTCTCAGTATGAGCGCGAGCAAGGATGTGCTTGCGTTGGCTTCGCTCGAAGTGGACCTTGGGAACATCGAGCCTGGTAACACGGTTACCGTGAAGTGGCGCGGGAAGCCGGTGTTCATCCGCCGCCGTACGCCTGCTGACGTGGCGAAGGCCAATGACGTGAACCTCTCGGAGCTTCGGGACCCCGAGCCTGATTCGGCCCGGGCGCCGAATCCAGAGTGGCTGGTTGTGATTGGCGTGTGCACACATCTGGGGTGTGTGCCGCTGCCGAATGCGGGGGATTACGGCGGGTGGTTCTGCCCGTGCCACGGGTCGCACTATGACATCTCAGGGCGTATTCGCAAAGGACCGGCTCCCACCAACCTGGAAGTGCCGACTTACAAGTTCTTGGATGAAACCAAGGTGCTGGTTGGCTGAGCGGTGTACTTTAGCCTACATACAGTTCAACACTGTGATGTTATGAAGCTTCTCATTGTAGTTCTGTGGGTTTGATTTCTTGGTCTTTGCTTGCGGTTCTGACTAGGTAGTCGTGTCAGTGCCAGTTGCCATGGAATGCAGGAGTTGCTGGTGGTTGAGATGATGATGTCGATACGATCATACACTGTATTTGTGAGTGGAGGTAAACTGAGCAGCCAAAGCAACGAATTGGAATGGACACCGCGTTGTTGTGATGCAAAGCCATGAAATGTTGCACGATGATCACTACTCCTCGGTACAACTGTAACACCTGTGATCCAAGAGAGACCAACTATCACTAACGTGTTGCATCCCAGTCATTCCTCTTCTGCTTTCCTAGCTTGGTGGACGCTTTGTAATCCCCCGTATATAGGACCCCCCCCCCCCCCCCCCCCCCCCCCCCCCCCCAGTTGTAGACCCCCGGGTTTATAATACGGACCCGGGTACTATTCGAGTACATCTGAGTTATACCCCCTAAATGGCTCCTAACATATTAAGACCCCCCCACATACTAGAGAAGTGCGGATTTTACAAAAAAAATGCAATTGAAAATGGTAACGAATTTCGAATTTCAAATGAGTCAACACCCATTTTCAATGTGTTTGACTTTCGAAGGCTTCACTTGTTGCGCGTCCAGTCAGGATGAGCTGGCACGCGGGCAAAGTGACGTGCCAAATCTCTGTGCACAGTCAGGGAAACGCCCTCGCCCGATTCTGATTCAGGACGCTGTAAAAGTTCGATTCGATTGAACTTACGAGACTGAAATGTACAACATCGTGCATTCTTATAAATGTCAATGTGAACAGACCCTGGTCTTCTAAAAAATATACCATTTAATTATACCCCCCAGCCTTTTTAGGGGTGATTATCATAATACCCTAGGGTTCTATATACCGGGGATTACGGTAGATGTGTGTTAGGCAGATGGAATACAGACGGTTGACGTCCTAGCATAAACATGACACAACCATCGGAAAAATGCCATTCCAGTCATCCGTCTCCAGTAAAGAGTATGAATACGGGAGTCTGGTTGGCTAAAGGTGAGCCCGTGCTGGCCCAGCTCGGAATTTGCCGAGTGAGCGTCAGACACGTTGACAGAATGCCGATGTGGAACTGAGCTTTTCCATTGCGGCTCACCAATCCGCGACTGCGAAACCTCCCAGCTGGAGTAGGCAATGATAGATACACACATCCCGCCAAGCTTCACCCATCGGACCTGCCCAAGCCGAACCAGATCCACGGAGATGTTCAGGGTGGCATGCGTGAGCGATCTCCAACGGAAAGTGAGTCTCAACGGCTTCGGAGGAGCCACAAACAGTTCGTATTGGTGGACATGAGGTTCAGCACGCATGATATTCGGACAACGCGTCAGAAGCGAAAGCTAGGCAGCTTTCGCCCAATCGCATGATTGCCACTCAAGCCGCATCTGCGCCGCTAAGCCAGACCTAGCCCGAGCCACTTGGCTCAAGTCAAGGAACATGTTTCCCCGAACAGAATCGAAGTCTCCCTCTTTGGGCAGGGACCATGTTTGGGCTGGGTGCAGGAAGTGCTGTGCTGCCTGCCGAACCACATGCCACACGCACGGGACGAGGTGGCACATAGTAAGAGGGTGAAAAAAACCCCAAACTCGGGGTTTGGCTGCTTGGAAGCATGGAATCCGTGGATGAATGGATATGGATGGATGGATGGTAGGATGATGGGAAGTATGGAGGATGGACGGATGGATTGGCCCTAGAGAAAGCCCACAACGAGCCTTGAGGTTTGGTGCTGCAGTGAATCCATCCACCCACCGGTGAGGCGAAACAGCTTGGAGATACGAGCGAGGGAAGTTGGATGTGGATGTCTACATGTTCTGACTCTCAATTCTGTTGCTCTCATTCTCGCTCTTATCTGTGAGCTTCTCTTTTGAAGAACCTTTTTCGAAGAGGACCCAACAGGTTTCACAACTTGGTGTGTTTTGCATGTGCTCACGACCTGTTATAGGGTTTCTCTTTTTGGTTCGTAAGAGCTAAGCAGTAGCAATGGCGGCTGTCCGTGCGCTGTCGCTGTCGCTGCCGTCAGCTGCAGTGTCAGGCTCTGTCCGCCAGCAGCAGGACTCCTCGACCCCTTTCCAACCGCGCGGTGCGTTTCTCAAGTTCAATGGCCTCAAGAGCACCGCCAGTCTCCCGTCGTCGAAGCAGTCCGTGCGATCCCCTGCTATGTCGCGCAAGGCCTCCAACGACCCCGTGCGACGCCTCGTGACGACGGCCGAGTTCTCCAAGGTTCCCCAGGAGCCCATGGGCCTGTACGACCCTGCATTGGACAGCGACGCCTGTGGTGTCGGCTTCGTTGCCGAGCTCTCCAAAATCCCCACGCGCAAGACTGTAAGCTGCTCACATCCCTTCTCGAACGTCTTTCAGATTCAGATACTCTCGTCCGCAAGCCTGCTGAGATATAAACAGATCGTTCGGTAGCATTCTAGCTAGCCTCGATTGCATATGTTTTTACCCGAATTACGGGAAATTTTAACACAGCACGCGGCTGCGTCCTTCTGTATTCGATACAGCTCCGTCGTTGCTTACCTCGCTATTGTGGGTTGTGTTTCTTTCCAGGTGACTGATGCGCTCGAGATGCTTATCCGCATGGCGCATCGTGGTGCGTGCGGTTGCGAGGTCAACACAGGTGACGGCGCCGGTATCATGGTGGCTCTGCCGCACGACTTTTTCGTCAAGGTGACTGCCGTCACCCCAGCCTCCTCGTCTCTGGATTCGAGCTTAGGACATGTTCGTGCCACAAAAAAAATGCAGTTATGGCAGCTGCATTTTCCTGCTTCCATCTTGTCCCTTTCTCGATAGATTTGTTCGACGGATTGTTTCCTAAACTCACGGTGCGTCGTCGTTCGTTGGATTGTTTTGATTAATCTCTTTCTTACTGTGCAGGTTGCCAAGGTGGATGCTGGCGTGACTCTCCCGGCGCTGGGGGAGTACGGCGTGGGAATGTGCTTCCTCCCCACGGATAAGAAGCGCAGGAACCGCGGCAAGGAGGCGTTCAACAAGGTTCGGCTCTGCACTCCACACCCCAGCCGCGTCGTGCCACCACTCCAAATTTCTCTTGCGCATGTTCTCAAACGCTCGCCTTAACTTATCGTTCATGACCGAACTTCCTTTCGTTTCGCTGGACTCTGACCCCCCCTGTTGGTGGTTTGTTTGTCCTTCATGGTGGTGATCCGTTTTGGTGATCCTTTCTGGCGATCTCGCGCCGCAGGTGGCGGAGGAGATGGGGTGCAAGGTGCTGGGGTGGCGGCGCGTGTTAACGGACAACGCGGATCTGGGCAAGGCGGCGCTGGACACGGAGCCCATCGTGGAGCAGGTCTTCCTGCTCGTCAACAAGGACTCGCACCTCGAGGCCGAGCAGCAGATGTGGCTGCTGCGCCGCACTGCCATGAAGGCCGTTCGTGAGGCGCTCAACCTCAAGGTCGGCGGCACCCGCGACTTCTACATTTGCTCGCTCTCCACCAGGTTCGTTGATCCCTTGGTCTCTTCGTCCATCCATCCTTTCGCTTGGTCCATCGGACTGTTTGTCCCATGGGCCTTCCACTTTTTTCTTGTTGGCTTGTCGATAACCATTTTCACAATGAGAGTTTCTTTGTATTCAAGATAAGGATTGGCTTTCCACCGGGTCACCGAGTTGGCATTTACGCAACAGTCTGAGCACGTGTGAGGAAACAGCATAGATCCGATGAAAATATGAGGAAACAAAAGTGATTGTACAAGGCGACCATGCTGTCCTAGTGCTTGACACGTCTTTCCCGTGTACGTGCGGGTGCGTGGACGTGCATGTTTGGGGCAATGCAGGACGATTGTCTACAAGGGGCAGCTGAAGCCGGAGCAGCTGCAGGGCTACTACCACGCCGACCTCGACGACGCTCGCTTCACCTCTTACATGGGCCTCGTGAGTTGCCCCTCCACCTGTTCTCCCGTTCGCCCGCTCGCTCGCTCGTACCCCCGCGCGGCCCCATGCCTTCCTGTTTGTTCGCACTGAATTCATCCCAGTTTTGTCGCTGGGTCTGGCTAGATTTGTCGTTTCCAGCAATACGTTGCGCCGTTTCCTCCCTCACTATCCGCGCATTCCCCTTCTCCCTCTCTCTTTACCAGGTGCACTCGCGGTTCTCAACGAACACTTTCCCGAGCTGGGAGCGCGCGCAGCCGATGCGCATTCTGGGGCACAACGGCGAGATCAACACGCTGCAGGGCAACGTTAACTGGTCAGTCGCTGCGCCTGTTGTTGCACACCGTGTCTGTCACACGCTGATTCTGTCGCACGCTGGTTCTGTCACACGCTGGTTCTGTCGCACGCTGGGTCTGTCGCACATAAGGTCCAGCAACGAGCAGCTCGAAAAAGGCTCGTGGGTTCTGAGGATCTAACCAACACTACCACTTCACCATTTCCCCCACCGCAGGATGCGCGCGCGCGAGGGGCTGATGAAGTGTCCGGGGCTCGGCATTTCCAAGGAGGAGCTGGACGCCGTGCTGCCCGTCATCGACGCCAACTCGTCCGACTCGGGCGCGTTCGACGGCGTCCTCGAGATGCTGGTGCGCGCCGGCCGCACGCTCCCCGAGGCGGTCATGATGATGATTCCCGAGGCGTGGCAGAACGACAAGAACATGTACCCCGAGAAGAAGGCGCTCTATGAGTACCTCTCCGCGCTCATGGAGCCCTGGGATGGGCCCGCCCTCATCGCCTGTAAGCTTCCCTGTAACCCACCGTCTAATCACCTAGGATTGCCCGCTCTCATAGCCTGTGTTCTACTGGTTTATTTCCCTTCTCTCATTACCTTTTGCCTCCATGACAAGAGCTGGTTTTCCATTCGAACCTTTCCTCCAACCTCCTCCCTATCCCCCCATTCCATCCCCCATGCTGCAGTTTCCGACGGGAAGTACGTGGGTGCGACTCTTGATCGCAACGGTCTGCGTCCCGGCCGCTACTACGTGACGCACAGCGGCCGCGTCATCATGGCCAGCGAGGTGGGCGTCGTTGACGTGGACCCTGCTGACGTGGCGCGCAAGGGCCGCCTGAACCCCGGAATGATGCTATTGGTGGACTTCGAGAAGCACGAGGTGGTGGACGACGAAGCGCTCAAGCGCCAATACTCGAGCCAGCGCCCCTACGGCGAGTGGCTGGCCAATCAGAAGCTGACACTCGGCGACATCGTCGCGTCCGTCCCGGAGGCGGACCGCGTGCCGCCGCCGATCGCGGGCGCGACGGAAGTCGATCCCTCCGCTGATAAGACGATGGAGACGATGGGTATCAACGGGCTGACGACGCCGCTGAAGGCGTTCGGGTACACGATCGAGGCTCTGGAGATGCTGCTGCTGCCCATGGCGCAGACGGGGTCCGAGGCGCTGGGATCCATGGGGAATGACACTCCGCTGGCGTGCATGTCCACGCGGCCCAAGCTCATGTCGGAGTATTTCAAGCAGCTCTTCGCGCAGGTCACCAACCCCCCCATTGATCCCATCCGCGAGGCGGTTGTCACGTCGACCGAGTGCATGGTGGGTCCGGAGGGGGATCTGACGGAGACGACTGAGGAGCAGGCGCACAGGCTGTCGCTCAAGGGCCCGCTGCTGACGCCGGAGGAGACGGAGGCGATGAAGAAGATGGACCACCGCGGCTGGCGCACGGCCGTCGTGGATATCACGTTCGCCAGGAGCGAGGGGCCGGACGGGCTTGAAAAGGCGCTGGATCGGATCTGCGCTGAGGCGAGCCTGGCGATCGAGGCTGGTTACAAGATGCTCGTGCTGTCTGACCGAGGTGAGCGGGGATTCAGCGGTGCTGGGGTGCGTGGTTGCTGGGTGCCCAGTTTTGGGTGCTGGTATGGGGTTCGGGTTTCGGGTTTAGGGGCTGAGATGCTTGAGAGCTGTTTTATCTTGAGAGGTTTTTAGCGGGTTTGTGATGCCCCAGGCTGTTGACTTGGGTCTGCGCCTATCCCATGGGCCAAGCACTCTAGATGCTTTTGTTCGTGTGAGCCACATTATGGCAGTGGGAGTCGGCACAATCAGTCCGCTGGTGCCTGCGGGTGCGGTGCACCAGTATCCCGTGCGCACGCTGCAGCGCACGCACTCACACCTCCCCTCATGTCCCTTTCCCACCATCCACCCCCCACCCTCCCCCCCATCCCTTTACAGCCACGTCCCCGACCCGCGTGCCCGTGAGCGCGCTCCTGGCCGTGGGCGCGGTGCACCAGCACCTGGTGCGCACGCTGCAGCGTACGCGGATCGGCATCGTGGTGGAGTCGGGCGAGCCCCGCGAGGTGCACCACTTCTGCACGCTCGTGGGGTTCGGCGCCGACGCCATCTCGCCCTACGTCGCCACCGAGGCCATCTGGCGCCTGCAGGTGGACGGCAAGATCCCGCCCAAGGCGGACGGGTCGCTCCGCACCAAGGACGAGCTCATTCGCACGTACTTCAACGCGAGCAACGCGGGTATGCTCAAGGTGCTGGCGAAGATGGGCATTTCCACGCTGGCTTCGTACAAGGGCGCGCAGATCTTCGAGGCCTTGGGGTTGTCGAGCGACGTGGTGGACCGGTGCTTCCGGGGCACGGCGAGCAGGATTCAGGGCGTGTCGTTTGACATTCTGGCGGCTGATGCGATCCGTATGCACGACCAGGCGTTCCCGCTGGGGACTGAGAAGAACCTTGCGGAGGATTCCGCGGATGCTATTGCGGTGCCGAACCCTGGGGATTACCATTACAGGAAGGGTGGGGAAGTGCATTTGAACGATCCGGTGGCGATCTCGCGGCTGCAGGAGGCCGCGCGGACGAATAGCCCGGCGGCTTATAAGGAGTATGCGGCGATTACGAACACGCTGAACCAGCAGTGCAACCTGCGCGGCATGCTGAAGTTCAAGCCGGCGCCAGGTGGCGCGATACCATTGGAGGAGGTGGAGCCGGCGAGCGAGATTGTGAAGCGGTTCTGCACGGGAGCCATGAGCTACGGGTCTATCTCTCTTGAGGCGCATCAGAGCCTGGCGATTGCTATGAATACGATTGGAGGGAAGTCGAACACGGGCGAGGGAGGCGAGAACCCGTCCCGGCTGGTCCCTAACCCGGACGGGAGTAACAATATCCTCAGGTCGTCGATTAAGCAGATTGCGAGCGGGCGGTTTGGCGTGTCGGCGTATTACCTGACGAACGCGGACGAGCTGCAGATTAAAATGGCTCAGGGCGCGAAGCCCGGAGAGGGAGGCGAGCTGCCCGGGCACAAGGTGATCGGGGATATTGCCATCACGAGGAACAGCACGCCGGGAGTGGGGCTCATCAGCCCGCCGCCCCACCACGACATCTACTCCATTGAAGATCTGGCGCAGCTCATTTACGATCTCAAGGTGAGCTGTTGTGAGCGACCGGTGATATGGTTAAGGGGTGGTAGAGGGAGGCTGGTAACCCCGTGTGAGCATGTTTGGGGAATCACAAGTTCGGCTGTGTGGTCAGACCACGGTCTAGTTGAGGGTGAACCAGATCGTGTCCTCTTATATGCCCTTCCTCTTCACTGTGGGGTGTTTATGAGAGTTCTCAAAAACTTCCTGCAGCGTAAAGAGTTCGGGTGGATGTGTGGAGTAGTTGAGGGTGAATCGGACCATGTCCTCATATTCGCCCTTCCTCTTCACTTCGATCTCCTAAACCCCGTCCTGGATGTATGCCTTGCCCTTCCATCCACCTGTCTCTCCTGTCCTAAACTCCCCAAAACTCCAACCCAGGCCGCCCACGTGCTCATCTCTGCCTCATCCCTGTCTCTTCCCATCCCGCCCTCCCCCTTTGTATCCAGAACTCCAACCCGGGTGCGCGTGTGAGCGTGAAGCTGGTGTCCAAGGCGGGTGTGGGAGTGATTGCAAGCGGAGTGGTGAAGGGCCATGCGGACCATGTGCTCATCTCGGGCCACGACGGCGGCACCGGTGCGTCCCGCTGGACCGGCATCAAGTCCGCCGGCCTCCCCTGGGAGCTCGGCATCGCCGAGACCCACCAGACGCTCGTGGCCAATGACCTGCGCGGCAGGACTGTGCTGCAGGCGGACGGGCAGATGAAGACCGGAAAGGATATCACAGTCGCGGCGCTGCTCGGTGCTGAGGAGTTTGGGTTTTCGACCGCGCCGCTGATTACCCTTGGGTGTATTATGATGAGGAAGTGCCATAAGAATGTGTGCCCGGTCGGGATTGCGACCCAGGACCCGGTGCTTCGCGCGAAGTTTTCCGGGCAGCCGGAGCACGTGATCAACTATTTCTTCATGGTGGCGGAGGAGGCGCGCGAGTACATGGCGCAGATGGGCTTTAAGACCATGGACGAGATGATCGGCCGCGCCGACATGCTGGAGCAGGACATGGAGCTCTGTAACTCCAACCCCAAGCTGCACAACATCGACCTCTCCGTGCTGCTCACCCCCGCCGCCACCCTCCGCCCGGGGGCGGCCCAGCGGTGCGTGCAGAAGCAGGACCATGCTCTCGAGCTGGCGCTCGACCAGAAGCTGATTCAGCTTGCGCAGCCCGCGATCACGCAGAAGATTCCGGTGTTTGCCGAGGTGCCGATTGTGAATGTGAACCGCGCCGTGGGGACCATGCTGTCGCACGAGGTCACCAAGGTGCATCGCCTGGAGGGCCTCCCTGCTGATATGATCCATTTCAAGCTCACGGGCAGCGCTGGGCAGAGCTTCGGCGCGTTTACCTGCAAGGGGCTGACTCTGGAGCTGGAGGGGGATAGCAATGATTATGTGGGCAAGGGGCTGTCTGGCGGGAAGCTGATTATCTACCCGCCCGCCGCGTCGACGTTTGATCCCAAGGAGAATATCATCATTGGGAATGTGGCGCTGTATGGTGCTACGTCTGGCGAGGCGTATTTCTGCGGTATGGCTGCGGAGCGGTTTGCAGTGAGGAATTCTGGAGCTAGGGCGGTTGTTGAGGGTGTGGGGGACCACGGGTGCGAGTACATGACGGGCGGCACAGTGGTGATTCTGGGCGGCACTGGGAAGAACTTCGCCGCGGGAATGAGCGGCGGGACGGCGTACATCCTCGACCGGGAGGGAGACTTCCACAAGAGATGCAACACAGGGCTTGTCGACCTCGACCCTGTAGTGGAAGAGGCAGACGTGCTGCTGCTGCGCTCCATGATTCAGCAGCACCAGAGGTATACCAAGAGCAAGCTGGCAGGGGAGGTGCTGGCGGAGTTTGAGGAGCTGCTGCCCAAGTTCGTGAAGGTGTTCCCGAGGGACTTTAAGAGGGTGCTGGAGGAGGAGAGGGTGAAGCGGGAGAAGGAGGCGGCGGCGCTCAAGGAGAAGGACGCGTTCGAGGAGCTCAAGAAGCTGGCGGCCGCGAGTGGAGGGGAGGTCAACGGGTCCGCTGCTGTGGTGAGTGAGGGCTGCTGTTGTGCTGGTTTTCGTTTGTTTTGTCGTTTGAGGAACTCTAGAGGTTGGCGGAGGCGAGTGGGGGGAAGCAGGAAGTCAACGGGTCCGCTGCTGCCGTATGTTTGTCTCGCCCTTTCCAATGCTTGGCCCACGCTGCCTTGCAGAGGATCAGGCCACCTTCTTCCCACGAAACGCCATCCCTCTCACGCCCTGCCCACTCCCCCTCACCTGCATGTGACTCTCCCCTCCTCCCCCGCCCTTCCCTCCAGGTACCCCCCAAGCGCCCCACGCGCCTCCCCACGCCCGTCAAGTTCGGGGGGTTCATGAAGTACGAGCGCGAGCCGCTGCCTTACCGCCCGGCTGAGGAGCGCCTCACTGACTGGGGCGAGGTGCTGGCCTCCGACCCCGGCCGCCCCGAGCTCCTCAAGACCCAGTCCGCCCGCTGCATGGACTGCGGCACGCCCTTCTGTAACCAGGACAAGTCGGGGTGCCCGCTGGGGAACAAGATTCCCGAGTTCAATGAGTTGGTGTACCAGGGCCGGTGGAAGGAGGCGCTGGATCGGTTGCTCGAGACGAATAACTTTCCTGAGTTTACGGGGCGGGTGTGCCCTGCGCCGTGCGAGGGCGCATGCGTGCTGGGGATTATTGAGAACCCCGTGTCGATTAAGACGATGGAGCTGAGCATCATTGACAAGGCGTATGAGATGGGATGGATGGTGCCCCGCCCGCCTGCCAAGCGCACTGGGTAAGATCTGGGGAGGTGTTGGGGTGTTTGCAAGGTGAGTGTGAGGGGAGGGGAATGAACATGCCATAGGTGTGCGTAAGATGATTAAGACGATGGAGCTGAGCATCATTGACAAAGCGTATGAGATGGGATGGATGGTGCCCTGTCCCCTGCCAAGCGTACCGGTAAGTCTTTGGGAGAGGGTAGGCGTAGTGTGTGCCTGATGAATGTGAGGGAAGGAGAGGGGGAAGCGTGCATGTCAGGGGTGTGCGTGCCTTGGGTGTGCGTGTTGGGCATTATTGGGATCCCGGTGTTGATTAAGACGATGGAGCTGGGTCGTAAAGGCGTATGAGGATGGAGTGGATGGTGGATGGTGCTGACCGGCAAAGAATTGGGGAGAGATGGAGTGTTTTGGCTGGTGGAGTGTGAGGGAATGGGAAGGTACCAAAATTTACTAAATCACCACAAAAAAATTTCACACGCTACGGCTGTGCTTACTGCGGATCCTGCATTAAGGTTCTGACTAATTCAAAACCGCACCTGTTAACCCTTCCCCCCCCCTCCTCTTACCTCTATTCCCCCTTAACAGCAAGAAGGTGGCGGTGATTGGCAGTGGCCCCGCCGGTCTGGCCGCGGCCGACCAGCTGAACAAGCGCGGGCACACGGTGACGGTGTACGAGCGGGCGGACCGCATCGGAGGGCTGATGATGTATGGCGTGCCCAACATGAAGACGGACAAGACCCATGTGGTGCAGCGCCGTGTGGACCTCATGGCCGCCGAGGGCATCACCTTCGTCACCAATGCACATGTGGGCGTGGACGAGCAGTACAGCCTGGACAAGCTCCGAGCAGACACTGATGCTATGCTGCTTGCCTGCGGGTCGACCAAGCCAAGGGATCTGCCTGTCCCCGGGCGCGAGCTCAAGGGCGTGCATTTCGCGATGGATTTCCTATCGGCGAACACCAAGTCGCTGCTGGACAGCGGGCTGAAGGATGGGAGGTTTATCTCGGCGGAGGGCAAGAAGGTGGTGGTGATTGGTGGGGGTGACACGGGCACGGACTGCATTGGGACCAGTCTGAGGCACGGGTGTGAGTCGCTGGTGAATCTAGAGTTGCTGCCGCAGCCGCCGCCGTCCCGCGCTGATGGCAACCCCTGGCCGCAGGTATGGTGGTGGGCGTGGTGCTTGATGTGTGTTCAGGGTGATTGTTGAGTCATCCTGGCCAGTTCTGATCATGGACCCGTGGACACAGGTAGGGTAGCTGCTGTTGTGCTAATGCACTGCTGATGTACACTGCACTTGACACCCGGTGGCCTTGCATCAAGGCCAGGTGTCCTCGCTCTCACAACCACCCCTTGCCACCCCTTTCCACCCCTCACCTCCACCTCTTCACCCCTCCCTCCCGCCAGTGGCCGCGCATCTTCCGCGTGGACTATGGCCACGAGGAGGCCAAGACCAAGTTCGGGGCGGATCCCCGCTCCTACGAGGTTCTCACCAAGCGCTTCATCGGTAACGATGCGGGTGAACTGACGGGCATCGAGACAGTGCGCGTGCAGTGGGCGAAGGACGCTTCTGGGCGGTTCCAGATGAGCGAGGTGGCCGGGTCCGAGGAGGTGATCCCTGTCGACCTCGCTCTGCTCGCCATGGGCTTCCTGGGTCCCGAGCAGGTCAGTGCGCTGCTGGGAGTGCTGGGAGTTGGGAGTTGGGAGTGTTTGTAGTGGTGCATTGGGTCGGAGTGCTTGTCAGGCAACCGCTTACCTTACCCCCTCCGTCTCCTGGGTGCAGAACGTGGCGGAGAAGCTGGGGCTCAAGACGGACGCGAGGAGCAACTTCCAGGCGGACTATGGGCAGTTTGCCACCAACCTGGAGGGCGTCTTTGCTGCCGGCGACTGCCGTCGCGGACAGGTACGGCCCTGCTACCTAGCCTCGTTTCTCCTGTGCCTTGAAATGCCTTGGTTCTCCTTTGCTTTGCTTTGTACTGATCTTTGTGCCAAGTGCTTTGTCAGGGCAGCTGCTGCCTCCCTGCTATGTTATGGTAGTCACTGTTCTACTCTGAAACAACCCACCTTCTGCCTGTCCCCCTGCGCTCCCCTTCTCTGCAGTCTCTGGTGGTGTGGGCTATCGCGGAGGGCCGTGGCGCAGCGGCGAACATCGATGCATATGTGATGCGCGGAGAGGAGGTGGACATGGCACCGGAAGAGAGGGAGCTCGTGGAGGTGGCTGCCAGGGCTGTTGTTGCTGTGGACGCTGCTGAGCGGAGCGCTGCCACCAATGGCAGTGCCACTAACGGGAGTGCCACTAATGGAAGTGCTACAAATGGCAGTGCCACGAAGGGGAGAGCGTTCCCAGAGGGCGTGGAGCAGGCACGCGTGGAAGCAGTTGATGTGAGTTGAAGGGGTTTGGTTGATGGCTTGGGAGTGGGGGTGGTTGGGCTGGTGGGTGATGGGCATCGGGGATGGGTTGCGGGCTGGAGGGAGAGCTTTCCGGGAAGGCATGGAGCAGGCACACGTGGATGCAGTTGATGTGAGCTGAAAGGGTCGATGGGAATGGGAGGAATGTGTGTGATGTGTGTTGCAGTGTCGATGCGACTTGATGGGAAGGTTTTGAGCCTGAGTTGTTGCTGGCAAGCCTTTCATGCTGTGCTGAGTGAAAAACTCTTCACTCTTGTGTGCTTGTCTGCCCTTGACCTAGCTCCAGTTTCACCCGACCTAGCTCCAGTTTCCCTTAGCGTGGACAGCAAGATAGGCAGAGACATGGGACAAGTGCTCTTTTCTCCTCCCTCAACTCCTCAACCATTCCCACCCGTGATGTTTGTCCCGCCATTCCCATTCCCAACCGTGATGTTTGTCTCACCAGGCGTGTCTGATGGTGGAGGGAGAGGACGACACGGAGCACATTGAAGCGTGTGTGGAGAAGAGTGTTGAGGCTGCTGCCTTAGGGGATGGTACCCCTGTGTCAGAGCAAAGCTATTAGAATTTAAATTTGTTGGTCATGTTTTGGAGGGGATTAGTTTTATTCCATATCAGTGTGTTCAGGTGTTACTGTTATATGACATGGTAATCAGAAACTTTCAGCTGAGTAAGCTGCATGAATGAAATGGAAATCTGAGGAGTGAAATATGCCTTGCTTGTGTACACGTTTGTACTACAAGTTACGTTGAACATGCACCAAAGCTAGGCTGCTGGTTTGGCCTGCGGCGATGTGGCGTCAAGGCCGATGTGTCGGACCTTCCAGAGATGTTTGGGGGGCCATTTTCACAAGCAGGCGCCGCAACTAAAATTCCCTGGACACCCTAGGACCGCGCTCTAAAAGCTCCTGCCAAGGCGAGCTGGCCCACACTGCTTGTTTGCGACACGTGACGAAGAAAGGTACAGTAACAGCCCTCGTTCGAAGGAATGCCAAGAGTTCCTAACATCTTAGGGTTGATGCTCCCGAGCTGCATGCCTTCCGGATGTGTTTTAGTTTCTTTCTTGCCCGCGGGCAGATCGCTTCCGCGAGCACGCGGAAGCGGTCGCGGATTCGCCCGCGTTTTTCCGACAGGGCTCGTATGAACATTTGAAAATCTGCTCCGATTACATGCGACGGGAAATACTGTGAGTGGGCTCATTCGTGTGGGAACTGATGGCAGCGAATCAATATATTTCTGCACATGCGCGGCTTCACTTTGTGACACCTAGCATTCCACTGTTCCGACAGGCGTTACAAAAACTTTCGAGCTCTCCGAGACACAATCTATAGGAATGCAGCATCGCTTTGATTCATCCAATCAAAGTGAAGGCGTGATCAAAGTATTTTTTAGTGAACTGCGACGTCGGAGGCCAGACGTCAACAGACGTCGAGCTCGACGTCGATCGACGTCGAAAGTGGCACTTTGATCACAATGCCGGCGACGAACTTTCACACAAGACAAATGCTGGCCTAAACAGTTGAACAATTGAATTCAGACGAATATCGGGAAGCGCTTCGTATGCGTATACAGTATGTCTATTGGCCGCGAAAAACACAGGCGAATTGTACAGCCTCGTCACTTTCGAGAATTCAATTCTTGTCGAACCGTTCTGCTGTCTGTTGTGGTCACGTTATCACTGTAGAGATGCGCTCAAAACCGTACAAGTGGCGATGCTGGCGTCAGCAATTCTTGAGGCGTACTTTGATCACAAAAAAGGCACCCCTCAGCTCACCTACCTCGCCCAACAACCTCGACGTCGGAAATTTGCAGCACTTTGATCACGCCTTCACGTCGACGGCCACTTGCTTCTCTTCTTTACCTCCTCATGTGTGAAGTTTCACTCCCTTCATTACGAACTCTGGCTGACTCATATCCCAACGACAGACTCTTTCCCACCAGCTTGATCTCCCTTGCACTCTCAGCATGATCTCCCTTGCACTCTCAGCATGGTCTCCCTTGCGCTCTCAGCATGACTTCCCTTGCGCTCTCAGCTTGATCCCAGCGAGTCTCTCTCTCTCTTGATCACTTCCTTCCAGCCGATTCTCCCCTTCTACTCCGAGTGACTTTCTTCTGAAGCGGCCAAACTGCTTGTTTGCGACATTGCTCGAAAAAGGGTTGGCTGCTGTCGAAGCAATGCCAAGAATGTGAGTCACTCTACTATTGGCTGATGAAGTCTTGTTTCTAGCGAGCAGGAGTCTTGACACCTCCTCCTGTGCTATCGGCTGTATCACACGAGACTTGCGAAGTCTGGCCTTCACTCCCCGCAAGTTTCTATCCCGAAGACTTACGGACTTTGCCTCCCCCTTCCAATCTGTAGGGTCACAGGGCATTCAATGCAGTTTGGTAGGTTTTCTACCAACGAAACTCGCGGACGAACTAGACTTGATCGCGGAAACCGGGTCCCCAGTTTTTGCGATGCTGATCCGTCGCAATGGCAGTGGGGTTGTGTCGCAACGGAAGCGCGACGACCTCCAATCAAGGATAATGTGGTCCTATTCCTCATCAGGACAGATTCGCTTCGGACGCTCGTCGCATGATCCCGCCCCTGCCCAGGGCGACTGAAGGGGGAACTCGTCGCACACCATGGACAGCGGCGTCGCGGCGAGGACAATCGTCGACTCCACTCGCGCCGAAGCTCCGAACCAAAATTCGCTTCTCCTGCTCTTCCTTAAGGAAGTATATTTACTCGCCGTTGGCCATCCCACACCACACAATTCCGACGTGGTCCTTCCCACAGTTTTTTTCATCCACCAGCAAGCAACGTGTGGTGCTAGTACCGCCGCTTGGCCTCTCTTGCACTCGTATCCGACCTAACTCCCCTGAGCAGCAGCTGCCGCAGCGCTATGGCCGCCATCGGAGCGCGCCGGGCCACGTTCTCCTTCGCGGGGCAGCTTCTCCCCCTGCTCGTCCTCGCTTTGCTGCTCCAGGCGCCCTCCGCGTCCGCCCGCCACTGGTTCTGGTACGACGCCCTCTTCCCCGTCGGCCCCTCAGGCGAAACGAATCCCGCCGCCGCGTTCACCGCAGAGACCGAGGGAGCGGCCGCGGGGGCTGCCGCGGCGCCGCTAGCCCCGGTGGCGGCGCCAGCGCCGGCGCCGGCTCCTGCGGTGTCGTGCTATGACGTCCCTGCGGGCCGTTTGATCGCGTCCGGAGCCGCGCCCGACCAATGTGCTGCGCTGGCGGCGGAGCTGACGCGCACTGCGGGGAAATTCGCGGGCAAGACTGGAGGGCAAGGATTTGCGGTTCCTTCTCTCTTCCGCGCCTGCCACTCCACGTTCCAGTTCAGGTACTGTACTGTACCACTATTGTTCTTGCACTGAGAAAAGTGTGTGCGTGTGTGTGTGTGTGTGTATAGTGTGTGTAAGTGTGTGTGTTGTGTGTGTGTGAGTGTGTGTGTGTGTGTGTGTGTGTGTGTGTGTGTGTGTGTGTGTGTGTGTGTGTTTGTTTTTTGTTAAGGCCATGCTATGGGCCACCGTAACCGAACTCCACGACTGCTGGGCTCGAGATTGTGTTGGCCTAATTTATTTTCTACGGTGGATCTGGCAGGAAGGACTGCGACGTGGAGGACCTGCTGTCGATCGCGAACGCGTTTGACAATCACTACGTGTACAAACACATCGCCGTTGACTCGCCGGACCAGACCAACCTGCCGAGCAGCATCGATATTGTCGCGGAACTGCGGAAGATTGTCGCGAACGCGGAGGCGGGGAAGTACCCACGGCTGGTTGACGCGCACATGGCTGCGTTCCGGGCAGTGTGGGCTCTGAATGACGGTCACACCACGTTCATGCCGCGATGCTTCATGGGAGAATTCAACCTGCCGCTGCCGCTCATGGCGGTTGTCGAAAACGCCCAGCAAATCATTCGCGTTGCGCCACGCCGATGTGAGTGTTGATCATTGAACAACCCCGACCGGGAGGGAATATATTCGTCACAGTAATGTGCGTTGTTCCAACTCTTACTCGGCACCCAACTGCAAAGCATAGCACCCCTAAACATCAAACTCCGTGTTCCTCTTTTCTATTAACTCTGGCCAGATATCACTCCCAGCGGCATGGACCATGTTGCGAAGGTTCTGCACAATTTTGACTTCGGCCTTTACGAAGGCCGACAGGTATGTGTTTGTTCGCAATAAGCAGCCTATCTCCGCGTTCGTTTTTTTTTATTACATCCTGCAATTGGGCTTTACACGCTTTATCTAAACTAATGCTTCATGCGCGTCGCAGGTGGTGGCGATAAACGGGGTCAAAGCGGAAAAATTCATCCTAGATTGGGCAGACAAGGAAATGGGCACGTATCGCAATCGCGCTTCGCGATTCACGAAAGCTTTCGCGAGGAATGAAGTGGAAGGAACAGCGAAAGGGACGAACATCGTCCAGGTGCCAGGCGAATTCGCCCGGCGAGCCTTTGCTCCCGAAAATGACACCTTGCTGATGTCCTTCACGACAGCGTGAGCTACAGTACCTTGATGCTCATTGGCTCTTCAAGATTCTTCCCTGCTGCTTGCTTGCTTGCTGGGTTTAGCTCACTCGTTCTCCTAAACGGTCCTCCACGCTTCATGTGTCCCCCTTTCCCCCCACCCTGCCCCTGCCCCACCGCTGCAATTCCCAGGGATGGAAGTTCGACGGAAGACGTAGAGGTGCCATGGATCGGGACAGGTGGGCTTGATCTCTTTGCAAATGCCACGGCATACTGGAAGGCCAACTGTGCCGTGAAGGACCCATCAGTTGCTGGCGGCAACAGCGTGCAGGCAAGGTCGCACTCAAGCGCACAGGCAAGCACGGTCGAACATGCAGACGCTCCGATGATTGACAGGTTTCTCGAACGCCATCCCGCTCCAGTCTACTACGACGATACGAGTGACAGCAGCGGCGACGATCTGAATGTCGAGATTGCGTCGCTTTCTGCTGCAGCAGCAGGACCGACTGTAACGAGGATCTCACCAACGACTGATTTTTATCTGGTGAGCGGGATGGCTTCAACCTGGGGGATAAATAGTGGAGGTTGTGTTGATTCGTGCATATTATGGGTTCTTGGGTTGTTAACTAGTTGTTAATCTATTGATTCCTGGGGCTTGCCATGTGTGCCAGCTGTTTTGTGTTTGCCATCTAGGGACTAGGGTGTAACAGCAATTGAGTGTCATTTGATATGCTCTGATCTGATGGTTTTCTGACTTAAGGCGACAGCCACGCCACACTTAAGCGAGCCTATAACGCCCGTCCAACTTGTTTTTCTGTGGGTGTGGGAGTGCACTTGTGCGCTTGTGCACGTGTGCATGCGTGCATGTGTGCATGCGTGCATGTGTGCATGTGTCCATGTGTGCATGTGTGCATGCGTGCACGTGTGCACATGTGCACGTATGCATGTGTGCATGTGTGCATGTGTCCATGTGCGCATGCGAGCAGGTGTACCTGGTGGGCGGCACCACGGCTGTGGTCTGGATTCACAAGTTCAGTCCCGGCGGCGCGGTGTCGCAGGCGTTGGCGGCAGAAAACATCGATGAGGAGCAGTATATGATTAAGGAGGTCACTAAGGCTCTCAACACCGCAGCAGCGTCAGTACTCCTCTTCCCTCTAGCTGTTAATCTATTGACCCTGCATCATCACATCCCCCCTTCCTTCTACTCTTCTACTACCCCCTCCAGGCCCCCTCCCGTCCCCACTCCATGTCTCATGCTAGTACCCTGCTCTCAACTCATCATTCACGAGACATGACCCCTTCCCCCCCCTCCCCGTCCCTTTTCTTCCCCTATCTACCTTTTAACCCTGTACTCCTCTCCCACTCCTCTCCTTCCTTCTACTACCCCCTCCAGCCCCGCTCCTGCCCGTCCCCACTCCATGTATCATGCTAGTACCCTACTTTCAATGCATCATTCACGATACATATTATCCTCATTACTTTCCCGCCCTTTCGCTACTTTCCCCCCTTTCCTCCACGCCTCCTTCCATGTCTCTTCCCTTGTCTCTTTCCCCCGCACATCCTCCCATGCGTCACCCCATGCCCCCCCTCCCCTCCCCCCCTCTCTTTCAGATCCAACGCCTCACAGATCATCATAGACGCGCGTGGCAACGGTGGCGGCTCCGTTGCCGCAGCATTCTCAGCCATCCGGCTATGTGTCCGCATTTCCGCATGTCCTTCCCCTTGTCTCCCCCCCTCCCCTTTCAGATCCAACGCCTCGCAGATCATCATAGACGTGCGCAGCAACGGTGGCGGCATTGTGCAAGCAGCATACACAGCCATCCGCCTGCTCATGGGGGCAGCCAAGGTCCCCAACTCTGACTTCGCCCTGCCGATGGATTTCATCATCGGCACACCATACACCGAGAATGCCGTCAGCGTGCTCTCTGTCGAAGAAACGCTCTACTATGTAGGACTGTACACCGATCTCAACGGGACCGCCCTCTCCAGCGCCTATGGCTACGCTCCTTTCCGCAAGCTCCGCTTCACAGAGGCCGGACCTGCTGGCAACTACTCGGCGCCGATCAAGATAAGTCAAACTTTCACTGGGAAGCAAACGCAGCCGGTGTTTGGCAACCGCCCCTTCATGTTCCTGTCAGACGGAGACTGCTTCTCCGCCTGCTCCATCCTCACGCACGTGCTGGGGAAACGCCACAAAGTGCCCATGGTAACCGTGGGTGGTTTGCCCAACCAGCCCCCTGATGTGGGCTCCTCGTGCCTTGGGTTTACCCAACCTGACATCTATTCGATGGCACCAGGCCTCACCAAACTCGCTACCGTATTGCCAGAGAATGCGTCACTGCCTCTCAAGGTGAAAGGGGCGGTTGGCATGGCGTTTACTAATGGTTACGTGGATTCGGAGATTCCGTGCGAGTTTGAGTTTCTGCCCAGCCAGCATCACATCAACTACACTGTTGATCTCATTGACAAGCCCTGGGCCATGTGGAGTGAGGTGGCCAAGCTCTTTGCCTCCGCTGCTGCCTAGCCCATTCCTCAGGCACCCCAACGGTTGAACCACTTCAGCCTTATTATTAATGCCCCTCCATGTGTGGTGTTGGTTCGAAATGGGTCTCCTAGACTAATTGCTTATGCTGGTGGTGGAAATTTATCATGGTTATGGTGGGTATGTTGATGGATGGTGGTTGTTGTGCTGACGATGTTTAATTCATCTTGATGTTCAGAGTTTCTCATGAAGATCTGGGTGATCTATCATGCTAATGAGTGTTCTCTGTATCATCCAGGTTTCACATAACGTATCATAACTCTGGCTGATTTCACCCCTGTTATGGGCAGACCTAATCACACCTGTCTGTACTAAGGGTCCATTCCGCTCTGTCCCAATAGAAAGTGTCCCAATCGATTCCACCGCACTGCATCTTATTACACCGAATTACACCCTAGTTTCGAACATTGTCAAACTTTTCGCGTCTCTGGTTTAGTTCGGTTCGGAGCGGTACACCCGATTGGGACATGTACTTTTGGGACATGTACTTTTGGGACATGTTCAAAGCGGAATACACCCTAAGATGCTTTCTTTCCAGCAACAATGTGAAAACCAATGACTGTATAAGTTATGGTGCAACTTGCTGGTGCAGATTGCTAGCTTTTTTGCGCGTGCAAAGAAGGTGTACAGCATACATGGAGATCATAAATGCTTGTTTATGAAAGCTATTTACGGGGATAAGTATACCCTCATCTTATTGTGCTACATGATGGGCATGTTTGTACAGTGAGTAATGCGAATACTTTCACAACGAAGCATTCTCGATCGAGCTGGAATGGTAGCCCAACTGTCCAGTGCTAGACGTGCAGCAGAGATGTGGGGAATAGTGAGTACGGGGTGAGCAACAGAGATTGGGGAAATGGTGAGTACGGGGTGAGCAGGGCTGACGATATCAGGGTAATTACCCTGATTTCAGGGTGATTACAGGCTTCTGACTTGGTGGTCCCTGCAAACACAGGTTTTGTATTTTGTGAACTCTGATCCTATCAGAGTAGCTACTTAACGGACTCTGAATTCTTGTAACTAGGCTCAGGGTAGTGTACTTGCGGAGTCTGTCAATGCAGAGTATGCGTTCCGTGGACCCTGAATGCGAGGGTATTGGGACAAAGTTTCCTAGAAGTTTCGTTTCCATAACCCCCTTGTGCGTAATCATTTCTTCGAGTGGCCCCATGTGAGGTACATCACTCACGCGCCCGTGAGTGACGTAATACCGACAAAGGACAACACTTACGTGCTGTACATCACAGCTGGCAACCACGCCAACGCAGCCAACTCAATGAGATGGTGCAGCCACGCGCACCGCACAGTGCACAGCATGTGTCTGCCATTGGCCAGAATGGCCTGTTGACAGCATGCGGTGGCAGCCAAGGAGTCCGTGAATGAATTCGGCCTTGAATGCAAGGACGAATTCATCGAGGAATGTTGCCATCAAGTCCGTGGAATCGCGGTGCGGTGGTTTCGTGCTCTCGCCATCTCCAACCTCCCCTTCCCTCCCCATACCAGCAGCCAACGTTCCTTTGTTCACTAGTGTGTTATTTCCATTACGTGCATTCATTGTCTCATTTTTCTCTCGTTCAGTTTAGCCACCAATGGAGGCCATGCGGGCCGACGAAGCTGCTCCGGACACTGGCCCCGACGAGCCGCCTGTAAGAGCGAAACCAACAGCGCCGTCCCAGCCGGAGAAAGCTTCGGATGCTCCCCGCTCTGGGCTAGATTTTATTAGATGTACGGCTGCTCCCGTCACACCTGAACCGCCTAGGTCTACCGTTCACGATTCTGCCCTTGTAGTAACCCCTACTCCTACTGCTTCTCCTACTCCCGTCCCGTTCACTCTCGCTCCGGCTGTTGCTGGCTGCAGCAAAAATCCTCCACCGCCCTCACCCAGTCTTACTCCAAGCACGGTGCGGGTGTCCGTTGGCCCGCCGTCGGCTACTTCCGCTCCCAAGCGTGCGCGATCTGGAAAGTGGGCGCAGAGTACTCTGCTGGTGGGAGGCCGCCGTATTCCACCGCCGGAAAAGCCCGATGAGCCTGCACAGAAAGAAGCTGAGCTGCCGGAAGAAGGTGACATCCCGGTGCGCGCGGATACCGGCTCGCCGGCACTCACCAAGACGCAGCTGCGAGAGCAGATGTACCTGGAGGCGAGTATTAATTACGAGACGAAGTGGGCTGGATACTTTTCCTGGCTTGTGTTTGGGAAAACCAAGGACGGTTTCCCGTACGTGAAGTGCAGCATCTGCATGTCGTACGGTAAGGGGAACACGAGGTACGCCATGCATGGAGACGACGGAGGCCGTGACTTGCAGACGCAGGCGTTCCGGGCGCACGAGCATACGGAGGCACACATGGCGGCGGTGGACCGCCAGATGAAGATTGCGGCGGGAATCCGCGAGGGGCAGCAGGTGATTTCGGACTTCATCAACTCCGACGTCGAGGGCCGCCGCGCGATACGGCTGATGCGGTCGACTCAGTTCCTGTGCCAGTGCGACGCGCCGATTAGCATGTTTCCTAAGCTGATGGGGCATCTTGCGGAGCAGGACACGCCAGACATTCCCCGGCAGTCGTACGGCGTTTATCTCACACTGTTAGTGACGGTTCAAATTGCTTGCAAATTTAAACATGCACGTCAAACAACTTGCTTGACTATCGTGTACTGATAATTTCTCTGTCCTTTGTTGCAGCTACGGCTTCCAGCAGATGGTCCACAGCATGAGCACTTACCTCACCCGGGTGCAGATGGACCACGTCCTGGCATCACCGTTCCTGGGCATCCAGTGCGACGAGAGCACTGACCGCACGCGAGGGAAACACATGATTGTGTACCTTACATATCTGAAGAACCGCCAAGTTGCATGCGAGTTTTTCACTTTGCTGACGGTCGAGCGGTGTGATGCAGGGTCCTTGTTTGAGGTGATGCTGAACCATCTTCGCTCCGCTGCCGTCGATGTGTCCAAGATCGTCGACATCAGCACGGACGGGGCGTCGGTCATGACCGGGAGAGAGAACGGATTGGTGGCGCGTCTTCGTGAACACGTCCCTCATCTGTTCTCATGCCACTGCATCGCCCATCGGTATGTGAGTTGATCAATATTGTAGCATGTTATCTACGCTGATTGGTTTACTAACAAACCATAATATTTGTTCCCTGCTTTACACAGTGAGGCGTTGGGTGTGAAGGACGCCGCTGACTCAAACCCGGATCTCGACATGGTCGACAAGGTGGTGCGCACTGTGGCGACTCTGCTCGGAAACTCCAGCGTGTGGAGTCAGCGGTTCAAGTTCCTGCAGCGTGTGATTTACAAGACCAACCTTGAAGTCCAAGGCATACACACGGTGCGGTGGCTGTCTCGAGGAGATGCGGTGGCCAGGCTGTGCAAGGTCCTCGGCGCTTGCATCGTGCTGCTCTGGGAGCACAATCACAAGGCGTACGAGATTGTCACCTGCTACAAGTTTCAGTTCTGCTTGTTTTTCTTGGCCGACATCTTGGCGGACATGAACGACCTCAACCGCTGCTTCCAGAGACGAGAGGTGAGGTCGCATGTTTGTATGATGTTGCTACGTGAGGTTCGCAACTACACTGTTGCTCATCCTTCTCCCTCTTGTCTACCCCTGCTCTGCCACAGCTGGACGTGACAGAGATTGCGAAGATGATCGAGTCCACAACGAGTGACCTGGTGGAGCGCTACTTGACGTCAGAGAAAGCTTTCGGGGGCGAAGGGAAGAGCTGGCTGGTGACCTTCCTCAAAGTCCACAAGGAGGGTGGAGGCAAGCAGGTCCGGGTGCGCGGCGTGGACGGTGCTGGGCGCCCGATCAACCACCTGTACACCATGCATGAGCGGAAGCTGAAGGGGCACAAACACGGAAGCACCTACGCAGACTGCGTGAAGCTGTGCCGCAAATTCGCCCGTGACTGCGTGGACAACCTCACCAACCGACTGGATGACCTTGGGAAGCTGGGGCCGACAAAGCTGTTCCGGGCGGGCAAGTGGCCGAAGATCAAGGCCCAGCGAGAGAAGAAGTGTAAGGAGTGGCTGAACGGGTGCAGCAAGTTGTTCCGCAACAAGCTGCCGGGATTCGACATCAAAGCAGCAGAGAGGGAGCTTCCAACCTTCTGCGCGATCATGGAGGCACACCATGAGATGGAGAGCTTCACCCAGGGCCTGTCCAACTTCCTTGGGAGCGCAGACTTCAAGAGGTAGCCTTTACTTTGCGTCTATGGGTTTTACAATCTTGTTGATTGCTAACTAATTCCGTTGTGTTGTGTGTACGCATGTGCCTGGCAGGAGATGGCCCAACCTCATCCTGCTGTGGCAGGCGCTAGCTGTGCTCCCTCTCTCCACCGTGGAGTGCGAGAGGGGGTTCTCCAGGCAGAACGTCATCAAGTCCTGGGTGCGAGGAGCGCTGTGCAACGCGCGTCTGGGGGAGCTGATGCAGATATCGCTCCTCAAGTATGAGATTGACTGGCCGGAGGCACTGGAGGTGTGGAGGTCCCTGCGGACTAGGCGCCCTGCGAAGAGCTTGAAGCTGGCTGTAGCAGAGAGGGAGCGGAAAGGGAAGCAGAAGGAGGGTGAAGATGTGGCTGCTCGAAATGCCAGGGAGAATGAGGATGAGGAGGAGGAGGAGGAGGAGGACGATGAAGTGGAACAGGCCTTTGACGACGATCAGGAGATCGTGGGGGAGGAGGAAGTGGAGGACAATCCATTCCTGTCGGACGATGAGGATGTGGAGGAGGTGTACTTCATAGACAAGCCCGTGCACTAGACTAGATAGAGTAGGAAACTGCATGCACTTGTCTTATTTAGGAAAATAGTGCATTGTTAATAGCAACCCTGTTTTTGAGTTGTGAACCCTGTCCGGTCAGAGTTGGACTTCGTGTGACACTGAGCTATCAGGGTAGCTACCTTGCGAAAAATGTGCCCTCATAATAGAGGGTCAAATTTTTTACTGGAATCAGGGAGTCTTAAAACGAAACGTCAGCCCTGGGGGTGAGCAACAGAGATGGGGGGAATGGCAGGGAGGGGAGGAGCAGCAGAGACGGGGGGAATGGTGAGGACGGGCAGAGCAACAGGGAGGGGAAAATGGTGAGAATGGGATGAGCAACAGGGGCGGAAGCAGCGGGGAGGGGAGGAGCAGCACCAATTGCAGGAAGTCATTCTCCATTTGCACCAGTTGCACCAAATCTGATAGAAGCAAGCCCCTATCACATCTCCATTCTCCACTCACCCCCCACCACCCCCACCCCCCTTCCCCCTCCCATCCCCCTCCTCTGTCCGCCCCCCTTCCCCATGAGCAGCAAGAAGGTGGCGGTTATCAGCAACAGCGGTCCTACGAGGTGCTACGAGGTACTACGGGGTGCTATGAGGTACTACGGGGTGCTACGAGGTACTACGGGGTGCTACGAGGTACTACGAGGTGCTACGAGGTATTACGAGGAACAATGAAGCGGTTCATCAGCAACGATGTGGGCGAGTTGACGGGCATCGAGACGGCGCGCGTTTGGCCGGTTCCAGATGAGCAAGGAGGTGATCCCCGTCGACCTCGCGCTGCTCGCCATGGGCTTTTGGGCCCGGAGCAGGTCAGTGCCTCTGCTGGGAACTTAGTGGTTGGGAGTGGTTGTAAGTGGTTGGCGTGGTGGTAGTGTTGGTGGGGGTGATTCCAGTGGACCTCGCGCTGCTCGCCAAGGGCTTCCTGAGAAACGCACTGCTGGCAGAGTTGAGGGGTTTGAGTAGTGGGAGTGGTTAGAGTGGTGAGTGTGGATGCGAGTGGCAGGAATGATTGGGAGGAAGTGCTGGGAGTGGTTCGGAGTGCTGGGAGTGGTTGGGGGGAGCGGTAGTAGCGAATGGGAGAGGTGGGAGTGGTTGGGAGTGGTGGGAATGATTGAGAGTGCTAAGAGTGGTTAGTAGTGGTGGGAGTGGTTGGGAGTAGTTGGGAGTGGTTAGAGTGGCGAGTGTGGTTGGGATCGGTGGGAATGATTGGGAGGGAGTGCTAAGAGTGGTTGGGAGTGGTTGGGAGTGATGGAAGTGGTTGGGAGTGGTGGGAATGATTGGGAGTGATGGTGGTGGTTGGGAGTGCTGAGAGTGGTTGGGAGTGATTGGGAGAGGTGGGAGTGGTGAGACTAACTGGGAGTGGTGGAAGCGATTGGGAGTGGATGGGAGTGGTCGGGAGTGATTGGGAGTGGTGGGAGTGATTGGGAGTGGTGGGAGTGATTGTCACACGGTGCACAGCGGAAAAACAAAATCGCTCCTAACCCCTTATATGCGCTAAATACCCGACCTGACACTTCACCCCAACGAGCTCAGTCCCTCCGATGGTGGAAGATGAGGGTAGCAAAGATAGTGTAGGCAACCAAATTTACCCTCACCTCATGCACTTCCCCCACCCTCCTCCCAACCCCACCCCACCTGCCAACCCCATGTATTCCACCAGGCATGTCTGGTAGTGGAGGGAAATCACGACACATAACACTTGTGTGTCACCTGCGCCCACCTCATTTCAACGCATACATAACCCTAACCTCCCCACACTCTCCCCTCACCCTTCTTATCACCCTGTTGAGTCCCACTAGGCGTGTCTGATAGTGGATGGAGTCGACTCAAAAGCCAGCAGCAAACATTGATGCGAGATGACTCTTGAGTCGACTAAAAAAGGCAGCGGCGAACATTGATGCTTATGTGATGCGCGAAGAGGAGGTGGGCATGGCACCGCAGGAGAGGGAGCTCGTGATGGCTGTGCTTCTGAGAGGCCTTCAGAGCGCCACTATTGGGAGCGCCACGAAGGGGTGAGCCACCAAGGAGATAGCGCTACTGGAGGGCTTGGAGCAGGCATGGGTGGAAAGCGGTTGATGTGAGTTGAAAGGGTTGATGGAAATAGAAGGAACGGGATGGGGGTGTTTTTTATTAGATGTCACACAGTGCACAATGGAAGATTATGTACTCACTCCAGTGTGCCGATATGCCCCTGATACCGTAGCCCACTTCACTCTTCACCCCACCACGACGAGGTCAGCCATGCTCTAGGTGGAAGGTGAGGATGGCATGGGTTGCACAAAAACCAACTCCACCCTCCCCACACCCTTCCCCTAGTCTCACCAGGTGTGTCTGATGGTGGAGGGAGAGGACGACATAGAAAACATTGAGGCGTGTGTGGAGAAGAGTGTTGAGGCTGCTGCCTTGGGAGAGGGCACCCTTGTGTCTGAGCTAAGCAATTATGAGATGAAGTTTCTGTTGGCGTTTTCAGGGTGGTTGAGGTTCTGGGATTTTGGCAATCACAAATGCATGAGTGAAATGGATTTTACTCCCAGAACCTGTAATTCTGAACATGTGAAACTGGGGAGATGCACCTGAAGAAGTAAAAGGTGTTGCTAGTATAAATCTGCCATTCCTGTTCCGTTTAACGCGTACACACCTGAACCAAGCCTGTCGGTTTGGTACAGGTTCCCTAGCGCACCAAAAACTCCCCAGGATGTTTCAGACCCATTTTTACGATCAGACTCCGCAACCAGGGGTGACATATTTCTCGAAATCCAGCTCGGGCTGCACTGATTTCTCGCGACACTTGACGCTTGAAAGAGGTACTTAATTGAAGTGTTTGGATAGGTGCGACATTCCCAGCGCATCGTGACCAGAAAGTCTTCCTACGAACCTGGCAGTGAATCAATTAATGAAAATGTTTAGACATCCACGATTCCAAAGGACGCCACAATTGCCGGAGAAATGCGCCCTCGTTCTGAGAACCTAGGGAACACCTCGACGCAAAAGTCGGCTGGCTCATCCTGTTCTTTCATCTGTATCACGACCCGAAGTCGTGCTGCCTCTCGCCTCGCCATTTTCCATTCCGTAGTGAGGTCGCAGGGCATTGCACAGTCGTAGGGCAGCGGCTATGTGTCGCAGGGGCGCGACGAACCGTCCTCATTCAAAGGATTATGTGGTCCTTCCTCCACACCAGAGCATATTCGGTTCGGGCGCTGCCCTGGGCGACTGAGCGGCGGGGCTCGTCACATACCATGGCGGCGTCGCGATGGGGGGCAATCCCGACTCGACTCGCGCCCAAGTTCCAACCACTTTCGCCGGTCGTACAGTATATATTTACGCGTGAGTATCACCACACACTTCATTCCCGCACGGTTTCTACCCTGACCAGCAACGGTGCCATTACCGCCGCTGGGCCTCTCTTGCACGAGTCGTAACCGAGCCAGTCCCCCGGAGCAGCATCTGCCGCAGCGGAATGGCCGCAATGGCCGTCATCGGAGAACGCCGCGCCAAGTTCTCCGCGGCGGGGCTTCTCCCCCTGCTCGTCCTCGCATTGCTACTCCAGGCGCCCTCCGCGTCCGCCCGCCGCTGGTTCTGGAACGACGCCCTCTTCCCCGTCGGCTCCACAGGGGAAACGAACCCCGCCGCCGCACTCGCTGCCGCGGAATCCAGCGGATCGGCGACGGCTGCCGAGTCGGCTCCAGTAGTCCCGACGCCAGCCCCGGTGGCGCCTGCGCCGGCGCCGACGGCGGCTCCTGCGGTGTCGTGCTACGACGCCGTCCCTGTGGACCCTTTCGTCTTGTCCGGAGCCGCGCCCGACCCGTGTGCTAAGCTGGCGGCGGAGCTGAAGCGCAGTGCGGGGAAATTGGCGGGCAAGACTGGAGGGGTAGGGTTCGCGGCTCCTTCTCTCTTCCGCGCGTGCCACTCCACGTTCCTGTTCAGGTACCGCACTGTACCGCTGCTAGTCATGCACTGTGAAAGGTTGTTTTTTCTCCTTCTTTTTATTTCTCTTATCATGGTTAAATGCGCCACTGAATTCGCGGAACACTCCGCGTTTTGTTGGGCTTGGTTATGTCGGCCGGGTTTGTCTGTACTATTGCCACGGTCGACCTGCCAAGAAGGACTGCGACGTGACGGACCCTCAGTCGATCGCGAACGCGTTCGACCATCATTACGTTTACGATGTTGTGAACCGATTTGCGAATGTCGTGACGATGATCGCGATCGTCTTTGTGATCTTTCAGGAAGGACTGCGACGTGGGGGACCTTCTGTCGATCGGGAACGCGTTCGACAATCACTACGTGTACAAGCACATCGCAATGGACTCGCCGGACCAGACCAACCTGCCGAGCAGCGTCGATATTCTCGCGGAGATGAGGAAAATCGTCCTGAAGGCCCTTGATGGAAAGTACGCGCGGCTGGTGGACGCGCACATGGCGGCGTACCGGGCGATCAACTCGCTCAACGACGGGCACACCTTGTTCATACCGCAATGCTTCTTGGGAGAATTCAACTTGCCGCTGCCGCTCATGGCTGTCGTCGAAAACGGGCAGCAGATCATTCGCGTTTCGCCGCGCCGATGTGAGTGTTGCTCAATATGCTCCCTCCCGGGTGAGGATGGTTGAGTGTGCCACGTTGCACTCTGCCGCGTTGCGCCCCGTCGATTTGAGTGTTTTACAGTATTTGAGATCGCACGTCTCTGGTTATGAGTTGCTCCAACTGTTCATTCATCATATTCCTCGGCACCCAACTGCAGGGCATAGCACCCCTATTTATCGAACTCCGTGTTCCTCTTTATCTATTCCCTCTGGCCAGATGTCACTCCCAGCGGGACGGATCATGTTGCAAAGGTTCTGCACAACTTTGACTTCGGCCTTTACGAGGGCCGACAGGTATGTATGTTTGCAATAAGCAGCTACTGTAGTTTCGTTCAGCTGCGTGCTGCAAGCGAGCTTCACACGCTTTATATAATTTAATGCTTCCTGCGCGTTGCAGGTGGTGGCTATAAACGGGGTCAAAGCCGAGAAATTCGTCCTGGATTGGGCAGACAAGGAAATGGGCATGTTTCGCAATCAGGCCGCACGATTCACGAAATCCTTTGCGAGGAATGAGGCGGAATCGGTGAACGCAACGAACATCGTCCAGGTGCCAGGCGATTTTGCCCGGCGAGGCTTGGCTCCCGAAAATGACACCTTACTGGTGTCCTTCGCAACAGTGTGAGATACAGTACTCGATGCTGCATGTGCCGTTTACTCTTCTGGATTCTTCCCTGCTGCTTGCTTGCTGAGTTTAGCTCACTCGTCCTCCTAAACAGTCCTACTTCATGCTTCATGTGTCCCCCTTCCCACTTTCCACCCCACCTGTTCTCCTTCCTTTTTGCTGCAATTCCCAGGGATGGAAGCTCGACGGAAGACGTAGAGGTGCCATGGCGGCAATAGCACGCAGGCAAGTGCGCAGACAAGCTTAGTCGGTCATGCGGACATTCCGATGATTGACAGGTTTCTCGAACACCATCCCCCTCCAGTCTATTACGATGACGATTCCAGCGATGGCAGCGTCGACAACCTGAATGTCGAGATTGCGTCGACAACCTGCTGCAGCAGTGGGACCGACTATAAAGAGGATTTCACCAACGTCTGATTATTTTCTGGTGAGGAGGTTGGCTTCACTCGGTGGGAAAAATGGTGGAGACTGTGTTGATTCTTGCGTGATGGGTGCTATCTAGTTGTTATCCTTGGGTTGTTTTCTAGTTGTTAACTTGTTTGTTTGTGTGTGTGGGCCTGCACATGCGGACGTGTGCATGCGTGCACGTGCACATGTGTGCATGTGTGCATGTGTGTGCGAGCAGGTATTCCTGGTGGGCGGCAACACAGCTGTGATCTGGATTCACCAGTTCAGTCCCATCGCTGCGGTAACGCAGGAGTTGGCAGCTAATAATATTGATATGGAAAAGTTCATGATTCTGCAGGTCACCAAGGCTCTTAATACCGCAGCAGCGTCAGTACTCCTCTACCCTCTAGTTGTTAATCTATTGACCCTGCACTGTCACATCCCCCCTTCCTTCTACTCTACTACCCCCTAGCCCTGCTGCCTTCCCCCCTCCATGTCTCATGCTAGTACCCTGAGAATATCTCTTCAATACTTTCACACCCTTTTGCTACTTGCCCTTTTCCCCATGCCTCTTTCCGTGTCTCTTCCCCGTGCGTTTCTCAACACATCCTCCCATGTGTTACCCCATACCTCCCCCCATCTGTGCCACGCGCGTCACCCTATGCCCCCCCTTCAGATCCGGCGCCTCGCAGATCATCATAGACGTGCGGGGCAACGGTGGCGGCTCCACTGTTGCAGCATTCACAGCCATCCGTCTCCTCATGGGGGCAGACAAGGTCCCGGACTCGGATTTCGCCATGCCCATGGATCTCGTCATCGGCACTGAGTACACGGAGAGTGCAATTAATGTTCTCTCCATCGACCCCGCAACTCACTATTACTTTAAAGCATACGCCGACCTCAACGGCACCGATTTCTCCAGCGGCTTTGACTACGCTCCTTTCCGCAAGCTCCGCTTCACGAAAAAGGGCCCTGCTGGAAACTACTCGGCACGGTTCAAGGCGAAGCACCAGTTTGCCGGGAACCAAACGCAGCCCATCTTTGGCGACCGCCCCTTCATGGTCCTATCGGACGGAAACTGCTTCTCCGCCTGCGCCATCCTCACGCACGTCCTGGGGAAACGCCACAAAGTGCCCATGGTAACCGTGGGTGGTTTGCCCAACCAGCCCCCTGATGTGGGCTCCTCGTGCCTCGGGTTTACCCTACCTGACGTCTATTCGATGGCACCAGGCCTCCGCAATCTCGCTGCCTTAGAGCCAATGAACTCGCCGCCGCCTCTCAAGGTGAAAGGGTCGGTTGGCATGGCGTTTACTAATGGTTACGTGGATTCGGAGATTCCGTGCGAGTTTGAGTTTCTGCCCAGCCAGCATCACATCAACTACACCGTTGATCTCATTGACAAGCCCTGGGCCATGTGGAGCGAGGTGGCCAAGCTCTTTGCCTCCCCTGCTGCCTAGTCCATTCATCAAGCAGTCCCAACAGCATGACACCGGTGCAGCTTAACTCATGCCTTCTACATGTGTGGTGTTGGCTGAAATGAGGCTCCCTGAAACTAGCTTATTCTGGTGGGGATATGTTTTCGTGCGACTAGAGTTTTTCATGGGCGCAGTGAAGGTTTACAGCATACGTGTATGGAGAGCTCTTTTATGAAAGGTCAACTTATTGTGCTACGTGATGGGCACGCTTGTCCATCGAGTAAAGCGGCTACCTGCATAACGAAGCTTTTCTGTTCGTTCTGGAGGGCTGGTTACTTCACGGAGTACCAAGCGCAGTAGCAGAGCATCCATAGCACATTCCTAAGTTAGGACGGTGGAAGTGGCAACCCTCTTTATTCGCCAAACCCTTCGCGTGACCGACGGTGCACTCTAATGATGAGTTACGCGGCAGCTTGCGACTGCGCAAGCACCGGTGGTAGCGGCAATTCCGGGAAGAGTTTCGCGACGTCGCTCCAAATTACCCAGGGCTTGTCGATGCGATCGACGGTGTAGTCCACGTGGCGCTGACTGGGCAGAAATTCGAACTCGCACGGAACGCTCGAGTCCACATACCCGTTAGTAAACGCCATGGAAACATCCATGTTCGTCTTAAACGGTTTCGACGCGCGCGGGTCGTTGGCGTGGCTCGTGCGGCTTAGCGGAACCGAGACGGCGCAGTTTAACGAGAGCATGGTGTAGCCCAGGCACGACGCGCTCACGGACACGGGCTGGTTGAGGTAACCACCCACGGTTACCATGGGTACTTTGTAGCGTTTTCCCAGCATGTGCGTGAGGATGGCGCACGTGGAAAAGCAGTCCCCGTCCGCCAGAAACAGAAACGGCCGCGCGCCGAAAAACGGCTCCGCGGATCCCGCGCGCTCCGCCAATCCGCCGTAGAAATTCTCGAAATACGACTTAAAATCCGCGGTATAGGTGCCGGCGCGACCGGCCTCTGTAAACGAGATGTTCTGCAGAGGAGTGTAGTCTTGCGAAGACGAGAGCACCGACGCGCCGTCGCCGGGATGCGAATAGCCGTCCGTTGCGTAGTCTGGAATGGCCTGATCTTCCATGAGGCTCCAGGTGAAGTTTGTGCCTATAATGAAGTCCATGGGTAGGGTTGCATCCGCTAGAGGCACGTTGCGCGTGCCGAGAAGCGTGACGACTGTGACTGAGCCCAGCGCGGTGTACCCGCCGCCGTTCACGCGCACGTCGAATATGACCTCCGCGCAGTTGGTGCTGCGCGCGGGGGGAGGCGTCGGGGGCGGGGGGCGGGGGGAGGAGGGGGGGTGTTTGGGGGGAGTTGGGGGAGGAAAGTCCAAATTGCTGCGAGAGAGAGTTTTCGGGAGGGGAAATTGGTGGGCAAGCAGGGAGGGCACGCAGGGGGGGCAAGCAGGGAGGGCACGCAGGGGGGGCAAGCAGGGAGGGCACGCCGGGAGGGCGAGCATACCTCTTGGCAGCGTCCATGGCTCTGAGAATCCCCGCAGCGAGGTAGTCAACTGGGTGTACGTCAGGGCTGCTGACTGTGCTATAGAGGAGAAGCAAAGAGGGCGAGCAGGGAGGGCAGGCAGGCAGGAAGGGGAGAGCGTACCTCCTGGCGGCGTCCATGGCTTTGAGGATCTCCCCAGCGAGGTAGTCGACGGGGTGCACGTCAGGGCTGATGACTGCTAGCTCCTCCACCGTGGTGCTGTCCACGTCGAACGTGTGCAGCACGATCACTGCCGTGCGGTTGCTCAGTAGATACACCTGCGAGGGGTGTAGAGGGGTGCAGAGGTGTGAAAATGGGCGGTGTAGAGGGCTGAAAAGGGGTGCACGCCAGGGCGGGTAGCTGCTAGCTCCCCTGCCTTGGTGCTGTCCACATCGAACGTGTGCCGTAGATACACCTGAGAGGGGTGCAGTGCGGTTGAGAGGGGTTGAGGGGACGGACAGGAGAGCGAGGAGGGAGCAGAGGGGAATGCTGGGAGTTTGAATGAGATGCATGATTTCGTTCAGGGGTAAGGTGTCAACACCAGCATGCAATCACGCATGCATACAGTCACACTCGCGTTAGTCACACGAACATACAGTCACACCCACATACAGTCACAGCGTATACAGTCACACCCACATACAGTCACACGCCCATACCAGGTAGTAGGCATCGTCAGCAGACACTCTCTCTACGGTGATCGCTGCCCCCTCCTCTCCAGCCAGTATCCTGGGTGTAACCGCATCACTGCTCTGCTCCTGCTTTTGCTTCTCTTGCGGCTGCGGCTGCTGCTGCCGCCTGTGGGGCTGCTGGCGTTTGTGATACTGGGGTCGTCTCCTCAAAACATCACGCTTGAACACAGGAGGCGGTTTCCGCGAATCCCTCTCTTCGTTGCTACTGCTACTGCTGCTACTGCTCGTGGTGCCTGCAGCGGTGCCAGCAGCAGCGCCGTCAGCACAGGGCTCGTTGTGCTTGGCGCAGTTGAGGGTCCAGTAGGAGTGCGAGTCGGTGAAAGCCTCTGAGCTCGAGACAGCTATCCATGGCACACTCACGTTCTCAGCTGCTCCCCTGTTGCTCCGAGCCAGGGAACAGGCCGGACAAAACAGAACAAAGAAGTGAGAACTCAGTGGCACCAACCAAGGTAACCAAGGTTAATGGTCAAGGAAACTCAAGGAAAAAATATAGACTTGGGTGCTGCCTGTCTAGAGGTAACGTTTGAGTCGACTCAGAATGAACGGATGGGATGCGTCAGCAGCACTTCACATTTCTCTCACTCACCCTCTGAGAATGGCCACCTGCAGCGAGTCGCTCTCGGGCACCAGCTCCCTCAGCGCGAACTCCCCCGGGTGCTGAAACAAGCTGGCTCTTCCCTGTGGGTCGAGCCCGGCGAACATCATGTTGAAGCGCGCACTGGGGTTGCGCACCATGCCGCCGTGCTTGTCCGCCCACTGCTTTATGTACTGCACTGCCGGCTGGCCCTCTATGGTGAGTACCTGGCGGAAGGAGCAGGGAGCGCAGGTGGGAGAGGAGAGGGCACTCATTGTGCTGTGCGTGTTGAATCCCGCACTGGGGTTGCGTACCATGCCGCTGTACTAGTCCGCCCACTGCTTTATGTACTCCACTGCCCGCTGGCCCTCAATGGTGAGCACCTGGGGGAGGGAGGGAGAGAGGCCAGTCAGTGTGCTGTGCTACTGGGAAATGGTTTCCTATTCAATGCAGGTGTTTGGTTACTCTAGTGTACCTGCTGTAACTCGTAGGCGGAGAAATCGAAGTCCCATATGCTCTTCGCGTCCTCCTCGATTCCGTCGAACCACTTCAGGTCTGAACAGGATGCCAGCACAGTGAAACGCGGCCACGGAGACCGTTACTTATACACATTAACGAAGCTCAATACAAACGAAGAACCCTTTTGCAAGTGCACATTCTTTGAGTTGGGAAAACGAGCTCGTGTGTGCGCCGTGCGTGTTATGCGTTGTGAGAAAAAAAGTCTCTCAGAAGCGCGGCAGACTCACATCGGCGCGTGGCGACGCGGACGATCTGCTGACCGTCCTCCACGACCGCGAAAAGCGGGAGAGGCAGGAAGAAGCTGGCCGTGCCGAAGAAGCAGTTGGACGAAAACATCGTGTGGCCGTCGTTCAGGCCGTTGAGCGCGTTGAATGTGTCCACGTGGGCGTCCATCAGCCGTTCGTATTCGCCCTGCTCGGCACGCTGCAGAATGGCCGTTAGCTCCGCGACGATGTCGACGCTGCTGGGAAGGTTCGTCTGGTCGGGCGAGTCAACGGCGATGTCCTTGTAGACGTAGTGGTTGTTGACTCCGTTGACCACGGACCGAAGATCTTCCACGTCACTCTCTCTGCCCACCGTCAAAGATTTTTTTTGTTAACGAAGACCGAGGTCATTGTCGAGTTATCAATACTTGCGGTACCAACCTCTTGTTTACTAGGTGCGCGCGTTACCTGATTTTGAAACTTCGCAAGCATTCGCGAACTGTTGAGGGCTTCGCAACGTCCCAGCTCGCCGCATTCTTGGCGATCTCCTGACTCCACAGCATGCAAGGGTCCTCTGCACCGCTCTGCATCACGCTCGCTGCCTCTGGACTGCTCTTTCCAGATACAACGGTATCAGTAGCAGCTGCCGTTAGAGAAGCTTCGCTATCAGCACTGGCATGGGCTGCTGCGGGATTGTTTAGCACTCGAAGAGCGAAGGCAGGTTGGAAATTAATCAAGGACAGGATGACAGCTAGCAGGCCTATCACCCGCGCGAGAAATGCTTTTGGATACATGGCGTGGGCAACAAGGGACATTCTACCAGGCAGGAGTAGCTTCTGGTGTTTGTTCCTGAACATGAAATGGCCAGTGAATCAGATTTCCTCACGCCTTTGTACCTCCACAACAGAAGCGCTGCTGCTATGTTGTAGTGTTTTGCTCTCACATTCCACGATTATTGGTGTTTGCGAGCTGGTGTTTGGAGATTATTGCTGGCAGCATGTTTCGAGCCCACTTTTCACTCACGCGCTCCGATGCTGAACGAGCCGCGCTCTTCAAGGTGGTCTCCTTGTTCAGCCCCTTCGGAAAGAGTTACAAACGAAAAATAATCTTTTCGCGGACCTCCCAGTGAAGAAATGTGTATCTGAATGGCACTCCCCAGAGTGAGCTCACCGGGAATATTTTACACGAATGCTGCGAAAGTTCCGTGGTCTCGTCACAGAGGGTTACCACTCGTGCGCAACGCGTGCAAAGGAAGCCGATATAGTCAGCTTTGGGAGTTCACGATGGAAACATACCAAATTCGATTCTCAAAATTGGTACAGCCTGGGATAAAAATTTCTCCAAAATATGCTCATTTAGAAAACAAAAATTGACTTGGAAGAAGAAACTTCCAAAAAGAGCTAACATTCTTTGTATAGAGCACTGAGCGTTAGGCCTCTCTGTGTTCTAGCTATAAGAAGCAAGAAAAAAACCTACATGATAACTCTTGGTTGTTGGAAACAATAAGTCTTAGTGCGCTTCTGTCGTGACAAAACCCAAGACACTAGCGAAGCAGTCCGAATCGAAGCATCGAGTCAAACCTCGGAGGTTAGGGTAACCGCCTGGAGGTTACGGGAAAGTCAAAGGTCAGCGACCTTTGACTCGACAATTACAGCGCGACAGTTAAGGACACACAACTGACTCGTTACAGAGCAGTTGCCCGAGTCGCACTGTATCGAATCGCAACAGCAAATGCAGTTATCTATCCATTCGTATTCCCTGTACTCTTATATAAAACCTTGTATTTGCTTGTTTAATTTAATCCACTTTGCTCTCACACACTAGTGCAAGGTCGGTTCACAAGTTTCATTAAACGCTTCCGCTATTACAAATATCCTACCCAGAGTTATCCTCTGCAAAGATCCTTAAGGGCTTTCTCAGCCCAACATGGTTTGAGAGCTGACAGGGGAAAACTCTAACTTTTTTTTAAGATCATTACAAGACATGGCAACAAACAAGGAAAGGAGCTCCCCTAATGGCTCCTCGGGCACTACTCCTACTCCACCGCCAGCCTCTGGCCTGCAGACAGAGGAAGGCACGGCAGCAAGACCAAGGGGAACGTCAACCGAGACCCCCACGAACCATCCTTCTGACTTCGACCAGAGCATGATGGAGAAATTTTTCTCCTTCATGTCCTTCTACGAGCAACACCAGCAGTCGGGACCTGCACAGACACACAACAGCAACAACGGAGCAACACCCATGAGCCTTGACGGGTCGTCATATGCGCGAGGGAATCAACACCAGCAACCCACCTTCGCCCCGTACGAGCGCGGGTCGATCAGCTTCCTGCCTCAACCTTCACCTGCGCAAGACAAACCAATGGACGCTTTACAAGTTCAGTCGCAATTCGCGCATGTCCTGAAACTGCAAACATCAAGACCTTTCGACGGAAAGGACTTCTTCACCTGGTCCTTTGAATTCGAGCTGATGATGGAGGGCGCGCAGATACTCGGCTTCTTCGACGGATCCGTGCAGTATCCAGCAAACGGCACACAGTATGAGAAACAACAGTATACGTATCAATCGATGATGGCGTATACTATTCTACTGAGAAACATCACACCAACTCAGCAGCAGAACATTCGCTCTTACCGGAACTTCGGCAACTCGGCGGAACTCGCGTACGGCCATCTGAAGAACCTGTATCAGGCAACAGACAGTGTAAGCCAGAGCAGGTTAATGGCGCAATTGACAACAGTTGAAATGAAACCAGGAGAAAAGGGCCTGGCGTATATCAGCCGATGTCGCGAATTGCGCGACAAGCTTCTTCGATGCGGAGGATCAATCTCTGAAGACACCTTCGTGACAGTCATCATCGGTGGCCTCGGTCCTCAGTGGCGCGCCACCAAAGCAATTCTTCGAGCACACGGGAGGATTTCCGAAGCGGCACTCTGCGCCGAAATCCACGCCGAGCAGCAGGATATGGACCTGCAAGAAGAAAGGCACAAGAAAAAGGCATTAGCACCGGAGTTCGCTTTCCATACTCAGCGACGACACAACAACTACAACAACCGACAGCAACAGCCGAAGCTAGTACCTTCGTTTTGTCACATCTGCAAAACATCAGGACATCCACGCACGCATTGCCCGTCCCGTCAGACAACACCACAGCGACAACTGCGGCCTTCAAGCTCCCAAGTTGCTTCGACACAAGCAAGTCCGACAACCACGATTCAAGCTTCAACGACTTCAACTGGACAACCTGCACAAGGAGCAAGAAACATAGTCAACTGCATGGTCAAGATAAACGATTCTTGCATAACAGAGTCACCACCCCACTACTCACCAGAAGAGGAGCTCGACAACAGGACGCCCCGCCGCGAATCACTCCACCCGAATCCGACTTACGCCGCCATCGCTCAAAGTGAACCGTCCGGCCAAGACACTTGGTTCTTGGATAGTTGCTGCGGGCAACACATGTGCTCGTCCGGACGCTTCGTACAACGCGAACACCGACTCCAACGAGAAGTTGTCATCACGGTCGCCAACAATCAAAACCTGCGCACACGACGACAAGGAGTGGTACAGCTTCAGTCAAGAGAAACAAATGTCATACTGCACATGTCAAAGGTACTCATCGCTGAAGGACTCGGTTACAACTTACTGAGTGTTAGCCAGTTGATGGCGAAGGGGATTCACCTGGAAGCCGACAGCACCACCCAGGAGTTCAAGCTATACCACGGGAGAGGCGGCCTCTACATCGGGAAAGCAGTATTGAAGAACAACGTCTTCGTCCTCAACTTCGTTCCTGACCTGGGCACTGCAGACAGCGACGCCATCGTGAATTTTACTGACTGGACACACCCTCCAGATCTCGACCCCGACTTCAGCCCGGGAGGTTTTTGGTACTCCCACACTATCCCTGAAGCAGAACGAACACGAGCGTTAGCGACGATTCAACAAACAACAGAAGCAGAGACAACATCGGCAGCAGCAACAACATCGGCAGCAGCAACAACATCGGCAGCAGCAGCAACAACATCGGGAGCAGCGACAACATCAGCAGCAGCAGGAACAACGACACCAGTCACAGTCGACGAAGCACCACCAACACCCGCACAACAGCTAAATCCGACTCAACGCGAAGTCCACCGAAGCGCCAACTTCGTCGCCAGTTTTTACTCCAACTCGGACGCATACCAACGTTCACCCGGACACCGCGCCTCTGAAGAGATCTGGCACGCACGCACAGGACATCCAAGCAACACGGTTTTAAACAACACAATAAGAGCAGGAGTTCTTGACAAAGACTCTCTACTTCTACCCGACGGCAGAGAACTCCAAAAGGCACGAGGGACTTGCCTTATATGCCCCGAAGCTGACTTACCTCATCGACCATTCGCTCCACATCACAACCCGAGCGCACCAGCGTACGCACCACTTGAAAAGGTTTACAGCGACATCCTCTACAATCGCGAACCAGGACAAGTCAACTACAACTACACCATCACCTTCATCGACGCCGCCACTCGATACGTCTGGCATCGTAACCTACCCAGCCGCGACATGGCGCTCGCAGCATTCGCCGCCTGGCTACCGATAGCAGAGAGAGAGTCTGGAACGCAATTGAAAAGCTTCCAGTCAGACGGAGGTGGCGAGTACACCTCTCAGCGCTTCAAGCAGTTTCTGGCGGAAAGGGGGATCAAGCAACTCCTCTCCCTTCCCTACGCACATCAGCAGCAAGGTGTTGCAGAAAGAATGAACAGGACCCTGCAGAACAGCATGCGCAAACTGTTACGTGGCATGCGGCTACCCAACCATCAGTGGCCAGCAGCAATGGACCATGCTGTCATGCTGCACAACTTGTTGTCGTCGTCGTCACTCCCGAACAACGCATCACCGCATCTGCTGTGGACAAGGAAGCAGGGCAGCACAAAAATGTTACGAGTCTTCGGGTGCATGGTACAGTACAGACCCCCAGAAGCACGAGCGGGAAGATTCTCACAACGGGCACAGTGGGGACTACACCTCGGCATCGAGAAAAATTACAATGCGTGGAGAATCTTCGACGTCCACACAAAAGAAACAGTAGCAGCACGTGATGTGATCTTCTACGAACGACTCACCCTTCAAACGTACCTCGCCAACTTGCACGAGAATCGGGACCTCACCAGTGGCTTTCGTGGTGACCGAGCCTTCGCGTCAGCA